ATGGCAGAAATTTCAAATAAAATAAAATTTGTCATTTCGCCACCCCGTTCGTACACCGTTCGACGAAAGCGCTTTGAAGACGTTCGTGCTTTATTTACATTCGTTAAGGTCCTACTTTTATTTTAATGTTTTAATATTCATCCGCCAATTTTTTAAAAACTAAATTAGCTATTAATAACTTTATTTTAAAACAAAATATTAACAGTTTTTTAATTAAATATAAAAGTTTGTTAAATAAATTTTATAAATATTACTGTCCGACAAGTAAATTTTGAATTAAAAATTTATTTTATGCACTCGTTTCTTTGTTGAAAATGAAACGCGGTTTCAAGGCTATATAAGGCGATGTAATGAAGAAGCCAGTAAATAGATGTAAAGTGAGCTCCTAGGGGAGGGTCGAACCGGTTTTCTGGTCAGTCAACTTTTTTATTTTATTCCGTTCAATCAAATTGGTGACAGTTATAATTAATTGAACAATTACATAGTTGTAATCTTTCTGAACGTTATATTGATAGTGAATCTCGTATTATCTTAACTTTAAATATGGAAATTGAACAGTCGACTTGCCATTTTAGTGAGGTTGTAGAAAGTGAAGAGAATGAAAGGCTGAATAACTCAGCGGATGTTCAAACCTCTATGAACGATTCGTTCACGTCTTGCACGGGCTCCGAGAATAACGACGGTGAAAATCCATCTGCCGGTGATCATGATCAATATAACAATGATGATGGTACTAATAATGTTACTATTAATAATAATAGCATTGATGAAGGTGACAGCAAGTCTCATAAAAAGAAAAGGTGCAGACGCAAGAGAAAGGCAGGAGAGCACCACAAATCCTATAAGAACAGCTGGGATGAAGAGAGCGATGTCCTGTTTGACACACAACACACTGTGAAGGTGTACAAAGGTTTCAATGGTAGAAATCAAACCGTTGTTCAGCCGAGGGCTCCAAACAACACTAATCAGTTCCTGATGGATGACCACTGCCTTCAATCCACTCCCAGTCCATTCTACGATCGAGCAGTCAATAAAGATCGTGCCAAATTGCGGAAAATGTCCATCGGCGAAGATCCAACCAGCAATACTTTTGAAGAAGACAGATCACTCAGCGATTCCGACTCAAGCACGACCAGATTAATTGGTTCCGAAGTAGACTGCTGTCAGGAGGATGACGATGGGTACATGTGCACAGAGTTCATCAAGGAGTATGAGAACTATCGCATTAGCATGCTGCAAGCCATGAACAAGGATGGGCTGATCAAAGAATGTCTTCGCCTCGACGTGCAGCTCGAGGACTGCCAAAAGACTATCAGGAGTCTCAAGAAGAAGTATAATGATTATAACAGCAACAATGTAAGTAGCAATAATGGTGAGCCTCATGATGAAGATGGTAACCTTAATGTTGTTGAATGTTCTTCACCGTCTTATCACCACCACATCACTACAAGTAACGATGATATCATTCTTGATAGCGATTGTTATTATACTAGTAATTGTTTATTAGGTCTTGGTGACAATAATAAACCTAAAGAAATTGGTTGTTGTGGTGATAGTGATGGGCAGACGACAATTACAACAGCTGTCGAGTCGACTGAAATTACGGGAACGACTGCTGTGTCTCATGCCTCTGGTCTGGTTGATCAATTTACTGATGAACACAATCTCAAAGAAGAACACAATATCAGGTTTGAATTCAACATTGAGTTTGAATTCTATGTATAAAATAACCTCTTAGCCATGTCTAACCAATGTCTTCATATTAACTAATAATCTTACTTTGTATTTTAAATCTTTGCATTAATTATGTGAGCTATGACTTTTTATCGGCGAAAGCTGGTTCATCGGACCAACCGGTTATTTCGCCCACGTTGCCATTGGTCAAGTCCTACCATGGCCAGAATTACCATATATTTGGATCAGGCATGTGCTTGTAATATTGGTTGTGTTAATACAATTCTTTATAAATTTATATACTATTTTGCAGTTTTTATGTTTTTATATGATTTTTGTAACGGAATTAACATTTAAACTTTGAATGAAATAAATGAATATAAAAATGGGATTGTTTGGAGTTTTTAATGTATTTTAATAAAAATCATTTTCAGTAATTTTTCTAATGTTTTAAATAAACGAATGCAATTTTTCATGTTCTTATTACAATGAAAGCTGATTATATGGTCTCATTCTAAAACTTTCTTGTGTGAGTGCGTGTGTGTGCGTTTAAATTAAATGTTATTACTAGGTTAACCAATTTCTTTAGGTTTATTATTGTCACCAGGACCTAGTGTGGTATTGGTACGACCCTTCATCCTATCAATATTCTATATCTGCACATTGTTATTAATTATCATTAATTGTCATTCAATTATTGATTAATATAATTATTATCTAATTAATTATAGATGTTTAATTGACATTCAACAGATCGACGCAAACAACGATAGCTGGTGCAACAGTGGTATGACACTGGCTCGAAGTGCTGGAGTTTCTTGCTTTTTTCTTTCTTTTCCTTTCCAATGTATATCAAATAGGCTTATTATTATTTGCATACATGTGTGTATGTATGCCTGTGTTATACAATGAGAGTAGTTTTAAATTCGTACTTTTTCATGTACCTATATGTATATATTTTTTTTAATTATTCTCTAAATTGTACATAGGTGCGTGTGTTTTTGTATTTGTTATTTCTTCAAAAAGTGTCATTGCACGATTTTATTTTTGGTTTATGTTTAACGATTGCCTGTGTATCGTGCGTATGCATATACGTGCATACCTCGAGCGATCGTTATGCTTTCATGTCATTTTACTTGTATATTATTATTCTTTGCGTCAGTCACTCTAGCTGGTGTTCCTTACCATTTATTTGAATTAGATTGGATGAATTTTTAAAGTATAAGATATGTGTACGCGAATATGTTTAAGAGCAAAACCAGCTAAATCATCAGTGTTATGAACGTTACTTCTTGACATGGCCTGTCCAACCGAACGAGTATTGCAAAATCACCATTCACTGCCTAGCTGTGGTAAGCCACTGGGTTGGCATTTGAGGGTGCTGCTTTGCTAATATTATTTTAATTAATTTCCAAGTTAATTATTTCATTTCGACTTTTTTTTACTACTTGTGTAATGTCTGCTGCAACAGGCTGTATACAAAATTGAATTTGAACTGAATCTTTCAGGTATTGAAGATTGCGTGTGTATGTATATTTACATGTGTGTGTGTGTGTGTGTGTTTGTGTAACTACTTGAGTAAATTAATTGAATTAACTCCTGTTTCAACAAAAAGGCGTATATTTCCATTTTTGCCATATGAAAGTAAACTTGTTAATGGATACTGAAAATTTTAGATCGCATTTGTCAGTCATGTAGTAAACGTTCGGCGTTATTAATTAATTTTACATTGAAAACTATTTCATCGTTTGTATAACAAACATCATATGTATAAATATATTGATAGATATGGTTAAAGCATTGTCAATGTATGTCTCTTGTTACTTATCAGCGGGTGGATGATTTAGACGCTCTGGATTTTTTTTCTTCTTGCTAAACGCATTTAAAATTAATTTTTAAGTTTAACATTTTGCATCATTTGATTCAAAAGTTTGTTACTTAAGATCATTCACGTTGAAAAGCCACAAAATTTAATTGTACATTGGTTGTAATATTCAAAAAAATATTCAAAAATAATTAACTGGCAATTTATTTAACTTTGTCTCATTAATAACTCGCTCGATATTCGTAATATGGGTTTGGCGATTTAACTAGAAGTTCCAAACATAGCTATTAAAATCGAGTAAATTTTATGCAGTGATCGGATTCAAGTCGTAACGGTAGGCACGTTCCTAACATTTTGTCAATGCACTGCAAAAGGTTCGTTCGCCACCATCATCTCGACTTTGTGCATTCGTTTTTACGACCCGACTGCCGGTGGGTGTCTTAACTACAACCTTTATGAGTGTGGAATGTTTATGCCACAACTTACCTTTTTAAAGTCGGCATCATTGTAGTCGGCTGTGGTGAAGAATGCTTTCAACTTTTCCGTGCATGCGTTGACGGCAAAGAGGAAATCGTAAATGAAGCCGGCCACAGCTCCTGCCGCCATGGGACCTATCCAGTAAGCCTAGTCATGGCATTTTGAAGTTTTAGAAAATTTGCGACAAATAAATTCAAATAACTATCTTAGTGTTGCGGTATAAATTGAAATAAACCACGAAAGGTTTGAATAATGCAAACAAGGGAACGGATTTCAGGTGCGAGTGTATTATTTAAATTACATTTCAACAAGACCTGAAAAATGTAAAAACTAACCCAATGGCGATCAAAGGTGCCACTTATGACAGCTGGTCCAAAAACTCGAGCAGGGTTTGTACCTGCTCCAGTTAAATTCATCTGAGAATAATTGTTTTATCTTTACATCATTTATCGTCGTAGTTGTCGTTGCATTGCAACGCAATAACAAAAGTTTTTGAATGCAATACATTTTAAAAATTACTTACCCCCATCAAGTGTCCAACAGTAACGGAAAGCCCGATCGCCAGGGGGCCAGACCCTGCAAATCCCTTCCTTTGCCCATCGCAGGTAGCAAATACCACAAAAACCAGCAGGAAAGTAACGAGGAACTCAACGGTAAAGGTGACGATTGCAGAGGTCCCAGTTTTCGGTGTCGGAGTACAGAGGCCCTTGAATGTGGATTCCGGGTAGAGACTGTTCAGGATAACTGCTCCTATGATGGCTCCACTCATTTGGGACACAACATACATGAATGCCTGTTTTATTAAATGGATGTTTGAAAAATTCATTTTTATTAATATATTGAGATAAGTCATTCCGCCTAAAATAAAAATTTAAAAAATTAATGAAATGAAACGAGTTGAAACTATAATATACTTTGATGAAGGACATCTTTCTGGTGGCAAGGAAGCCCATGGTGACAGCTGGATTGATGTGCCCTCCGCTTACGTGCGCTATCGCCCACACGACCGTACTAACCGACAGTCCAAACGACAGGGCAATAGCAAGTGGTATAGCTTCGTACGCACAAGAGCCACAGCCGAAAATGACGAGAAGCATCGTCCCAACGAACTCCGCAGCCACCGACAACCAGAATCCTGATGTCTGTACCTCGTAGACAGATTCCGATGAACCCATGTTCACGTATTGGTGTCTCTGATAATGGGATATTGGTAACAGTGGTTAGATGTTCATCAGTTTTATGGTAATTAGCCACTTGCTTATGGAGGTTGCCTAATGTATGTCTGGTTTTTATTTGTTATCGTATCTATATTTTATGTTGATCGATTTTGTGATTTTTGTGTAGTTTTAACTTTCTTATCAAATGTTTCACCTTAAATTCAATAAGCGGAAAATAACTCAACAGAAAGGTATTATTTTTATTTGAAAAAAAGTTGGACATAATGTTATAAAATTTATAAAGAAATACTCACTGAAGTTGCAGTGGAAATCTTGGCTATTGTTACTAAAACTTGAAAATTAAAAAAATTTTTTGTAAATTAACAACTAATTTTTAAAACATCAGCTGATCAATAAGAAAAATTTTAAATCGAAATTATAGCCCAAGATCACTCGAAATGTAAAAATAATCACAAGAATAATGATGAATATAAACAGAGTATAATGACGTCAAATTCCGTTCAAGCCGACCAAAGAACAATATAAGGTAAAAAGAAACAAAAACCAACGCTCAAAACACTAATTTATTTTTTAATTTCGTTTCATTAAGTTACGAACTTTCTTATAAAATAAACTTTTAAATTCGATCCCAACAGCAGCTATCATTACATTTAATTTAGTTATAAGCGCTGGCGGATCTAGACAACGGGGGCCTAATTTTGAAATTTTTCAAACGTTAAACCGAAAGAGAACTTTAAAGAATTGAGAAAACATTGTGGTAAAAGTGGAAAATACAAGAGTTAAAAAAGACCATAACAGACATTACCGCTAAAGTTTGTAAATGTAGTATCTCTAGATCAAATCGGCGCTGTCCGTATAGGACTTAGGAGTTTAGTAACAGTAAAACCAATTGTCATAAAATTGCACGTCTTATCATGCAAAAGTCGAAATATAATTTAGAAAACAGTAAAGTATAATTATTAATAGATAAAAATTATTAATAAATTATGATATAGGTTATAATATAACAAAATTATTAGGCAGAAAATGCTTTCGAAACCAAATGCTATTAACACAATCCTCAACTATCAACTATATTATTATTACTATAATGAATAATGCGAGCACTGATATTCAAAAATAATGAAAATATAAAATTAAAAAATAAAATATTACGTAAAGAGACAGAAGCAATAAATAACAACATAGAAAACTTATGAAACACAAGGATTATTATTAAATTGGAAATAACTTTAATTAATTTTATTTAATTAGAAAAAACTTTAAACCATGGTTCTGTAATTTAAAAGTACAAGTTAGATACATTAATAAATAGTCAAAAAAAAATGGAAAATCAGATGATAAATTTGCCCCTAGAAGCAGCAGCAGCAGTAATGGTAGTAGCAGTAGCAAGAGTAATAGTGGTAAAAGTAGTAGTAGTAGTAACAGCAGCAGTCAGTAGTACTACTAGTAGTAGCAGTCAGTAATAGTAGTAGTAGTAGTAGTAGTAGAAGTATTAGTAATAGCAGCAGGCAGTAGTAGTAGTAGTAGTTGTTGTTGTCGTAGTAGTAGTAGTAGTAGTAGTAGCAGTCAATAGAAGTAGTAGTAGTAGTAGTAATAGTAGTAGAAGTATTAGTAATAGCAGCAGTCAGCAGTAGTAGTAGTAGTTGTTGTTGTTGTCGTAGTAGTAGTAGTAGTAGCAGTCAATAGAAGTAGTAGTAGTAGTAATAGTAGTAGAAGTATTAGTAGTAGCAGCAGTCAGCAGTAGTAGTCGTAGTAGTAGTAGTTGTTGTAGTAGTAGTAGTAGTATTAGTAATAGCAGCAGTCAGTAGTAGTAGTAGTTGTTGTTGTTGTCGTAGTAGTAGTAGTAGTAGTAGTAGCAGTCAATAGAAGTAGTAGTAGTAGTAGTAATAGTAGTAAAAGTATTAGTAGTAGCAGCAGTCAGCAGTAGTAGTCGCAGTAGTAGTAGTAGTTGTTGTTGTAGTAGTAATAGTAGAAATGATAATTTTATTATTCATATTATAAAAAATTACTGGAAAAATATAAAGAAGCATTGTAAACGAAAAGGCGCAATATTGGCTCAATTATAGTTATCATAATACAATCAAGATTATAACAATGAAAATAATAATTACAATAATAATTTCAATAATAATCATAATTTTAATTATAATTATTTCAATTATCATAGCAATAAAAAGTGAATGAAATGATTTAGTTAAACAGCCGAGTCTTTCCAGCATTTAATTATTGGTAGGTTGGCAGGTTGGTTAGTTAGTTTTGTGGTTGGTCAGTAGTTAATTTATTAGTTAGTTAGTTGGTTAGCTGACTGATTGACTGAATGGTCAATTGATCGATTGATTAATTGATTGATCGATCAGTTGGTAAATTGATTGTTTGATTGATTGTTTGATTGATTGATTGATTCATTCATTTATTCACTCACTCACTCACTCACTCACTCACTCACTCACTCACTCACTCACTCACTCACTCACTCACTCACTCACTCACTCACTCACTCACTCACTCACTCACTCACTCACTCACTCACTCACTCACTCACTCACTCACTCACTCACTCACTAACTCACTCACTCACTCACTCACTCATCCATCCATCCATCCATCCATCCATTCATTCATTCATTCATTCATTCATTCATTCATTCATTCATTCATTCATTCATTCATTCATTCATTCATTCATCCATTCATTCATTCATTCATTCATTCATTCATTCATTCATTCATTCATTCATTCATTCATTCATTCATTCATTCATTCATTCACTCATTGATGGCAGATGGCATTTTTATTTCAATTACCCCATGTAGGTAAATGCGTTGATAATTTTAATTTTATTGGTTCCTAGTAAAAATCTCACGCAGTAAATGTCAAGTCGTCGTCATCTTCATCATCATAATTTTATACAAGGTAATATTTTTACGATCATAACAAACATCATCACATTGTTAATGTTTATCTGAATAAATATAAATATAATTATAGCAATAATAATAATATTAATAATAATTATAATGATAACAAAGAACTCTCCCTTTTGGCCAATAAAAGAAGGTCGTAAAATTTACTAGGTCTACATTTTCCTATATAAGTCTTCAACCCAACCATATGTTGAAACAGTTGGAGATAATTGTAATTAAGTTTTTTAGCTTTCTCAGAAATTTGTAAAATAGTTTAGGCTTAATTTATTTAACTTAATAAAGTACATACATATACACAAACACACACGTGCATACATACATACATACAATATAAACACGCAAGCACACACATAAACACACACATATATCTTCATATATATATATATATATATATATACATATATATATACACTCACGCATATAAATGTAACTATACATTTATAAGTTATAGTGTAGTATACTTATTTTGTATAAATAAATATATATATATAGAGAGAGAGAGAGAGAGAAATAGAGAGAGAAGATTTATATGAAATCAGAGCTGGTCTGGTATATATGTATGTGATCTGCCATTGTGTTACATAATATACACTAATCCTTTGGTCTTGTTTGTTGAAGCATGCATTATAACTTGTAGTGTTGATCAAGTTCTTATTAAAAAGAATTGTGGTATAGGAAATACACCATCAACAAATCATCTCGAGCAACAAAAACGACAACAATAATAATAATAACAAACGTCATTATCAATAGGATTGTAACTACAATTGCACATCAATAAGAGTATACGCAGAACGTTACGACAACTGCTACTGCTAGTACTACTACAGCAACTACTACAACTACTATTAGTGCTACTACAGCAGCATAAATAACATTGACAAAATGTCGAAATATACAGCTTCCTGTACGAAAGTTGAATCCTACAGGCGTTTCGTAAAATTTCAGCATGCGACAACTACAAATCTCATCAACCACAACAGCCACAGCAGCCACTGCAACCACAACAACGTCATCACAGACAGATCACAATCAGATAGTGGATTCTCATCGTCTGTTCTTTCACCACACGCATCAAACTTACTAAAAAATAAACGTGGTGGTGTTGGTGGCGACTTCTCCAACGTCAATATTTTCAAACTAAGTGAATCGGCTAACGATCGGAGTTGTGTTAAACATCTGAAAAGTTGTAAAGTAAGATATTTCTGTATTATTTTTTATAATTTTTATAAAAATCAAAAATAGTATTAATGAAAGAAATACTAAATGCCGAAAAAAACTTTTTCATTTATATTTCAATCCTTTGCAAAAAAAATTCTTAACGCTAAATATTACCACTTACCCCTTACAGCACACGGCCCAGTTAACATTAAAGTTGCGTCACTCGGCCATACTACTGGACCGCCCCAATTGCGAAGGTCACACCCACGAGTGGGTACTAGAGGTCAGGTGTCTGGATGACCTGGGTGAACAAAGGGTTGCCAAACTTATAAGGAAGGTTGAATTCTATCTACACGAATCATTTGACGACAGAAAAATTGGTTAGTGATACATTTTTACATTTAAAAATTTGAAGATTTCAGACAATACACAATACATAATTGAGCGAATACTGTCACACACAACACACTCACGCACACACAACACACGCACATACATTACGCAATGTATTATTATATACAGAGTAAGCATGACAACACATAAACATCAGCCGCGATATATAAACATCGTTAAAATCACATGCTTGAACGTGATAAAACAGCAGTGGTTTGCTGCTGCTTGCTTGGGCACGCATAATTGCACGGCACGCAGTTCATTTATCATTGTTAAGTTGCATGAAGTAAATCTTGCTTTATAAGTAAGCTGTATTTAATTTAAAGGATTAACATTTTTTTTACTTTCGTATTTAGTATGTATTCATCATTAATTTAGTTGAACAATGTAAAAATAGAGATACTCGCACACACGCACGCATAGTTCCAAACGCACACACTTTCTCTCTATTTCTCTCTATTTCTCTCATTTCTCTTACACACACCACACTTTATAAATTTATTCACAAACACACATACACGCATACACACATACTCTCTCTTTCTCATACACACAACACATACGCACACTACACACACAAACACTCACACACACGCAAACACACATCACACGCATAACTTTCAGACAAACATTCACACGCACACACACACACACACACACACACACACGGAATTTACGATGCACGCAAACAAACAATGCATTAGACGTAGATACCTCCAGCATTTAGATCCACGCAATCTGCATATCAATGATAAATTCAACTAATTAACACATTTCATTATTTTTTATTATCATAATTCTTATTTATTATGATGTATGTTGTATTTTGTCTGTGAACTGAGCAAACAAAAGTGCATTGAAATCATTTGCGTCGTAAGTACGGAAACAGCCCTTTCAAATTGAAATTGTACTTTTTTTAGTGTACTGTACTATGACATGCATTTGTATGGCTTACTATTGCAACTAATGCATGCATGCATGCATGTATCATGATTGTATCGTAGATGGGGAATGCATTCTGTGTGCGTGTATGTGAGTGAGTGAGTGTGTGTGTGTGTGTGTAGGTGTGTGAATGATATCTTATTGTTAGTGCAAATTAGAAATTGTAAATTTTATTGTACCTCTGATTTGCTATGTATCTAGATACAACAATTGTATATAAGTTACCCTCTGTATAGGTTTAGTTTAAATCTCCAGATATAACGTACAGTAATATTCTCGTTTGCTGTGTTTACTGTTGTTCTAAGTAAACGTTGCGATATATATGCACGCTATGATATGTAGTGAAATTAACAAGAGAACGAATAAATAATCAATTAATTTTTATTAAATAAATAAAAAAAAATTTCAATTTTTTCCTCGAGTACAGTTCTACGAGAGCCTCCGTTCACAGTTTCAAAGACTGGCTACGCAAGTTTTCTCTTAAAAATAGACGTCCACTTCCACAAACCAGCTGACCTGGTCGGCCCGAAGAAGGTGCGGTTTTACTATAATTTAGTGTTGGATCTGCAGCAGTCGGTCGAACATACGAGGTACGAGAAGTTGAATTTCGTGAACGCCGATGACGAATTCAAAAAGTTGATCATTTCTTGTGGCGGGGTGGGCTTATTTTTTGGTTTTGATTTGATATTTCTTTCAAATAAAATTCATTTATTTATTGTATTACCATGTTTTAGTTTATAAAATGAAAATAAATCTAGTTGAATAATTAAATATTAATTAGCCTAAATCTAATTACAATTTTTAATTCGATCAAACAGAGCACATTGACTGGATCAGAAGGCGCCGTCATCGGTTGTTATCAGTGCATGCAACTGCACCCCAACCTTTCCCAATTCATTCAACGCTCCGACAATCAGTCGAAAACTTCAAATCTTTCAAAATTTGAGGACAGCGGTTTTGAAAAGTCGTCAGATAAATCGAATTACTTCAACTACTGTACAGTTAAAACTGCATCGAAAAAAAGACAGCTAAAAAATATCGTCAAGCCAACAATTGGCAATAAAATTAGAGTACGAAAAGACAAAAAGCCACAAAAGTCGTTGGACAACAACTACCTCCCACCTCAAACTTCAACTTTTTTCCAGTCACCGCTACGAGTACTCAGATCAAAGACGTACAAAGACAGAAAAATAGTGACCACTAACGACGACTCAACATCATCCATCTCTGAAAAGAGTACTGCGGATTACCCGATCGACAACATCTTTGCGAAAGAAAACGTGTTAGAAGAAAGTCTGGACCAGCTGATCAAATCATCGAGCGGCATCCTAACCAACTCTAACAACAGCAACAACCAACCCGCCACAATTCAGACTTCAAGCATTCATCGCAAGAAGGTCTCGTTCGCTCCGGTAGATAACATCTTCTTGACCCACGAACACCCTTCTATGGAGCCACCAGAGAAGAAGAGGAGGCCAGGAAGACCACGGAAGAACGCAACATCTGGAACAGGCGGTCGTTCCCTATCCAGGTCCGACAATGTCATGAGGGAGTTCAGTCCCCCTGGCGTCATGATGAAAGATTTCATGAACGAGCAGACGTCTGCGAAAAAGAAAACTACCGGCGGTTTCAAATTCCACGCATCTACCAGTTTGTCGGCTATGGTGAGCAAATACAACGATGATGAAGAGGAATGCCAACAGTCAAATGATAATATATTCTATGAATCTCGTAACAAAGTTCCGGATAACATATTCCACGAACATCCCACAAACAACTCCAAACGACCGAGGGGAAGACCAAGGAAGCAAGTGAACGAAGCTGCTGCAAACGACACTTCAAAAAAACTTAATGGATCATTTTTTCAAGTTGGTCCATCAATGGGCACAAGAAATATCAGGAGAGGAGCTGCTGGGACGACTCCATCATCACATACTCAATCATCTTCATACATTCCATCATCACATGCTCCATCATCATCTTACGCCGCCTCATCGTCAAATGTATTTGCATGTGAGAAGTCCGTAGCAATAAGTTCAACGAACCTAAGAAATAATAATTTTCAAACCACCAACCAAAATATGAGCCACAACATAGACACCAACGCCAACAACTACAACAACTTCAACAATTACAACAACACAAGCAGCAATATGAACAATTACAACAACTATGGGAACATGTACCACAACAACAGCAACATTTGCAACACTAGCAACATCGGCGGCATCAACACTAGCACCTCGTCTAATCAGTTTCAACACATGAATGGTAGTCATCCAGCCTTCATCGTCAGCATTCCTTCATTTCAATCTGGATCTGCTCCAAATGATGAAGACGACGGAGAGGAAGATGACGACGACGACGATGACGACGACGACGTCATAATAGTAAAGTCTGAGCAGCCTACTAACATTGAGGATAAGCAATCTAAATATTGCCCGCTAACCTTTGAAAATGAGAAATTTTTTGAAAAAAAAGTTTCAGCTGAAGATAGCCGCCCGAAAAAGCAAATTATTAAATGGAAACGAATGAGGGAAGAAAACGATGAGAACGATGCCAACCAAGTTGCCAGGAAGAAAACTAAAAAAACGAAGAAGCAATCAGCTCTTACAGCTGCTGTCGTTGATTCATTCCCAATTGTGACTGACAAAAAAAAGCGGGGCAGGCCGTCGAAAAGGAAGGCAGTTTCATTGGAACCGGCAAAAAGCGACAACATATTCGCGCGCACTGATAACATATTTGCAGATTTCAACAGCAATAACCTACCAGGTACAAAGAATGATTCTGGCAAAATCGGTAGCAACTCAGGTGGGCCGCAATGCAGTAGTAATAAAATCGATAGCAGCTGGAAAAATCCGTTCAATAACAACAAACAAGAAAAGCAAAAGTTGGCTCTAAGTTCCGCTTGGTTACAAGGACGGAAAACAAAATTTGATGCTTTAGTTCTCAACAAAAATAGTGATAACAACGTCATTGATGATAACAACAACAACATCAACAGCAGCAGCAACAACAACGTTACTACCAAAACTGAAAACCATGACATTAACGATGATGTGGAAAATTGTAATAAAGAAGAAAATGAGAAATGTAACGAACCGGACAACATATTTTTGGACAAAAATCCTGTCATGACCAGCAACAACAACAACAACAACATCACGCCAGACTATTCAACGACCTTCATATCGGGAAGCAACATCAGCAGCAACAACAAAATTTTTTCATCAACACCGCTGAAATGCGACAATGTCCGAACGTCCATTATTAATTATAACGAAAATGTAATGAAATGGTCATTTTTATGAATTTTTATAGACTAATTTCATGAACTATCTTTGAACCAACCATTCACTATGGATGTACTTTATTATATGGAATGATTTTTAACGCTTCAGTTCTATTTTTCAGCCTTATTGTAAATATTAATCAAAATTAAATATAGATTTGTTTCATTAATAAAAATATCGATGCCAAATTGTTTGATAATTATTTAATTAATTAATCATCGAGAGATGGTTGATGCACGTCTGCGAACGATGATGACGTCGTTTGTTTCAACCCCTTCCTCCATTTCGCTCGACGGTTTTGAAACCAGACCTGATTTTTTTGTTTCAATTTTCATATTTTAATAAAATTCAACGTACGAAGTTTTAGAAATAAATTGAAAAATTTTGAACTTGAATTCTGGATTCTGCGAGTTTCAGGTGAGAGGCAATTTCTTCTCTGCTGGTGACGTCAGGATATTTTGTGAGATGGAACAATCTTTCCAGCTGGTCCAGTTGTTGGATGGTGTACGTCGTTCGTAAACGTCTTTGTTTTCGCTCTTCATCTTTATTTTTGGTCGATTTCTTGACGGTAAGTAATTTTTTACTTTCGTTTATCGAGCCAGAGCCAGCGAATACACTTTCAGCGTCTGGGTTCTGATTCAGAGTGTTTAACCCTTGAGAAGAATATATGTTTGGAACTTCCATTGATTCTTGCTGAATATTTGGGTTGAACTTCTCTCCATCAAAATCATTAAGCAGACTGCTGGAGAAGGCTTGGAAAGAACAGTCTTCGTAGTTACAAATGTAATAATGAACATTACTTGAGGCTGTTGGTTCGGTGTCCTCTAAAGTTGTAACGTTCGTCACTGATGAATTTGAGTTGCAGTAAAAGTTATTTTTTGGTAGATGTTCATTACTTTTACCATTCAATCCATCCTCTTTTGAAAAACGTGGAGTTGAAAACTGATTTGAATTTACAAAATTTTTGTTATAACTCAACATTGATTGATAAGTTTGCATTTTAATGTGAATTGGTTATTTAATTCAAGAAATAAAATGTTTCAGAAACTTGTGCTTGAATAATTTCAACAATTTTAAAACCAACTTAGCATCGGAAGATCTTTTTATAAGGACCTTTGAATAAAAAACTCTACTTGGATGGTTTCTTTTTGACACCTTTCTAAGCTTTTAAGCGATTGAATTAAAAGCATATTTTCACAGATATTCAAGAATCTATGCCTGTAAAAAGAATATTTTCTATACTATTGTTTATTTTTGCGTGCTCAAACGATAAATAGTCTTCTGCAAATTTGAAATAAAATTAACTTGAAATAAAGTTTAAATTAGTAAATAGAATACGGGGAAAAATAAAATGAGTGGCGGAAAGAAAATTAACAAAATTGACGCTTGTTTAAATTATTACATGAGAAAACGAAATCACGTTGTTCATTTTTTTTTATTTTGAAACATTTTTTAACTTTATTTAAGACTTTAATAATTAATTAATTTAATTTAATTAAGTGTTGTGGGTGCGATTAAAATTTTTATGGAAGCTTGAACAAACTATTGTTTTTATTTATTTTTTTAAATCCTGCAGCGAATTAAATTAAAACGTTAACTTCTGATTCCTAACTAACTAATTGTTAATAATTGTTTATTTGATATTTTATAGAAAGTGCAGGTGAATGATTTGACGTGCACTATGAAAGAATTTGCAAAGCAGTGTTTAGTTGCAAGTCGAATCAGTGCCTCAAACCTTGTGGCCATCAACAGCCTGGCATTCAATCCAGAGGCCATGATTAACCAATTTAATAAGTAAGTCTGTACAAATTAGTTAACTTTAATTTACATTTTAAAATAATTTTCATTAAAATTATTTTACATGTTTTGGTTATCATTAATTAATGATATTCAATAAAATAATTGACATTGTATTTTTATTTTAATCATAAATTTTTTTGTACGTTTTTTCTTCATTCTGACAGGCAGTTTATTTTATTTATTGGAAATTTTATTTAATTAAATAATTAATCAATTAAATAATTAATCAATTATTCACCGACAAAATGTTTTGATCCAAACATAGATTAGAGACATTTATAACTGAAAACAAAGAACTAAAAGAGGATCTTTTTGACATGTTAACCCCAATAGCTCTACACTTGTATTCAGATCTACTTAGCAATGGCCAGAAGGAAAAAGGTGAGGGTCAATTGATTTGAATAAATTAATAAATTAATTATTTAGTCATTGTTTAATTTAGTGTTATTATTGACATTGTAGTAACTTTACTGCTACTACTACTGCTGCTACTACTACTATTACTACTACTACTACTACTACTACCACTACTATTACTACTAATACTACTAATATTACTACCACCACCTACTATTACTGATGGAACTACAGCTTCTCCTATAACTGCCACTGCTGCTACTGCTGCTGCTACTAGTACCAATACGACTGCCATTTAAAATGTAACAATAATAATAGTACAAACTATAAACATAAGAATGATAGTAATACATTGGTTGCACACAGCCGTCAAATTTATATTGGACAAAAGAAAATTGTTGATAGAAGACAAAACGTTTTTGGACATCATTGATGGCTTGAGAGATCCAACTAATGACCACATCAACAACAGCAACAACAACAGCAATCATAACATCAACAGTATCAACAACAGCAATAATAACATCAACAGCATTAATGAGGAAAGTAGCAAGCAATTCAGTAAAATATTTACAGAGTTAAAGTTAGTTCATTATTATTACTGTTACTGTTGCTGTTATTGTTGTTGCTGAAAAAAGAATTTTTTAATAATTACATTTGTATTATTTTATGATAACAATTAAAGATAAATCAAAAACACTAAATATTTAGAGCAAGAAAATTTCAGCTGGTGCTACCTCGAAAGGCCCACGAGAAACTAACATTAGGTTTTCTGAATAATCAGGACAATCTCTACATCCACCAGCTGCTAAACACTTACATGGATGTCTCCGTCACTGCGAACGATGATGAAGACGATGAAACAACTGCCACTATTGCCGACAGATTGTTAAACGATGAAGACGATTGTGACGGTGGTAAAGTTGGTTTTGGTAGTAAAGATAAGAACAATGACGATGATGATGATAAACATCGTCGTCATGATCTTTGGGGTTCTGATAATGATGTCAAAATGACTCTAGCTGAAACGATCAAATCAAAAATAACTGTATCTACACCGACACAAACAACAACAACAACAACGTCATCATCAAAATTATCATTACTAACATCATCAACGCTGTCCACATCAACAACAACAACTACTACAACAACTACATCAGTGACGTCAACGTCAACAGCATCAAAAGCTGATGAGAAGAAAGCTAAGCTAGATTTACTGAAGAAGCTATCAGGAAGCATAAGCACGATAGCTCCTTGTCTGCCACAAATCTGCCACATGCACATGAAAACCTTCTCTAAAAAGTAAGTTTGTTATTAATCTTACTATTTTTTTTTGTCTGTGACATCATTTTCACCATTAATATCTTCTTCATCATCACCAGCCTGACATGTGCAGCCATGTCTCCAGACGAGCGTTTCCTATCATGTGGCTATGAGGATTCACTCGTCAGAGTCGTCAGGATCGCCCCTAATGACGACGGCGACGACGACGATGACGTCATTGGCACTTCCGCAACGACGACGACTAGCAACATTAGCAATAATGGAATTCATAGTAGTGATCTTTTGCCCCCTCCACTATCATCATCATCAGCACCATCATCATTATCATCGTCGTCGACTTCACTCAAGAATGATATGATGACGCTATTTGGTCACTATGGGGCTGTGCATGGTGTTGATTATTTTCAAAATGGTTCTGATTCCGGCGAGAGTTCTAAATGGCTGTTCAGCTGCTCTGCTGATAAAACAGGTGTTTTGTTTTCTCTGTTCATTCTTTATTCATCCTTTGTTCATTTTTTGTTTATGTTATGCTTTTATTAATGTGATTTGGTTGCTTTTTTTTAGTTTTAACTTTCAGTTTTTGTTATCTCTTCATTCATTTGTTAATGTTGCCATTAGTTCCACGCTAGTTCTACTGTTATATTTTTTGCATTACTATAAATTTTAATAATAATGATATAATAATTATTTATTTATTTATTTAATGTTTGTACAGTCAGGCTGTGGAACACTGAAGAGAAAAGAAATGTTGTTGTATACAAGGGCCACATGTATCCTGTCCTAGATGTAGCATCCAGGTATTTTTTGTATACTTTGTACGTTTTGTATCTTTTGTATTAGTTTTATGTTTTGTATTGTATTAGTTGTATGTTTTGAATTGTATTAGTTGTATGTTTTGTATTGTATTATATTGTATTAGTTGTATATTTTATAATTTTTTATTTTTCTATGGTTGTTTTCTATTTTAGGTTTAGTCTTGTGTTATTTACGTACGGCGCGCACATACACACACCGCACACACACACACAAATATAATACACATTACACAAAACAAAAGACAGAGCTATAATATGCTTGTAAGGTTTGCACAGATTGCATTCAAACCAGGTCACCCACCAAGCGATTACCTCTTCTTTTGCTGTTCGTATCATAAAACGAATCTTCTAACGTTAATTAACTGGATTTATTTCAATTTGTTAAGCCCCATATCAGGCTTCTTTGCGAGTTGCTCGTACGATCAGACGGCCAAGTTATGGAACACCGAAAGGATATATCCGTTGAGAAATTTCATTGGTCACACACAGGCTGTCAATGTTTGTGTTTGTGTTGTCTTTGTTTGCTTGTTGTATTGTCTTTGTTTGTTTGCTCTTTGTTTGTTTGGTCTTTGTTTGTTTGCTCTTTGTTGTGTTGTCTTTGTTTAACAATCAGTCGAACAATCAATGTACTTAATCAATTAATCAATCGATTATTTATTCAAACCAACCAACTAAACAACCAACCAACCAACCAATGAAAAAGTGTTTAGCCTTCCATCCGAATGGAAACTACATAGGGACGGGTAGTGTGGACTCAACGGCGAGAATGTGGAACGTTCAAGATGGCAGGTCTTATTCACTGTCTTTTGTATCTCTGGATGGATTATAATAATAAATATGAATTAAAATATAAATGCATGTTACAATAATGACAGGTGCGTTCGTTTGATGGTTGGTCACGAAGGACCATTACAAGCCATAAAATTCTCGCCAGATGGCAAAATGCTAGCCACAGCTGGTAACGATGTTTAATATCATCGTCGTCGTCGTCATCATCATCATCATCTTAAATTACATCATCCACATCATCTTTAATGACATCATCGTCGTCATCGTTATCATCATCCGCTTAATGTCGTTGTCATCATCATCTTTAATGACATCATCATGAACATCTTTAATGAAATCGTCATCATCATCATAATTCCACCATAGGTGATGACCACGTGGTGAAACTATGGGACCTGGGCACAGGATCACTCATCAAGGACTTCCGGGGTCACGGTGACGTCATTTATTCCTTGGCGTTCAATAGAGATGGGTCGTTATTGTTTTCCGGTCAGTATTATAGCATTCTCAGCTAAAATGCTATTTATGTCTTTTTATCTTTACATTTTATAATTTTTTATGGTCATATTTCAATCCGTACTATCAAAATTCATTTTAATTATTTTGTTGCTGTTGTATTTTTTTTTAAAAGTTTTATAACAAATTTTTTTTCAAAATTTCAACACAAACTCAGGCGGTATGGACAATTCTTTGAAAATGTGGGATGTATTTGGAAGCAAGAATCATGCTACAGCAGCTACTGCCGCTACTACTGCAACGACAACAACTACTACAATTACCTCAATGACGTAAGATTACTCATTATAATCATCTTTAATTATCATCAGTTACTCATCTTTCTGATCATTTACTCATTTTATTACTGTCCTAACAATACCATAGATAGCGCATACGGATGACAGCTTAAGAATTATCATGAATTAAATTTAATTAGGATTGGGAAAATTATTCATTTTATTGAATGGATTATTTGATCTAAATGAATCATCTAAATAGATTATTTGATCGATTGAATGATTAATTAATTTTTGGATGAGTTTTTAAATTTCCGTTACTACTATTTGAGAAGTTGAAAATGATTTTTGGTAACACTAGGTATCAAATGCAATTGCTGATATAGGTATTGATGATATTTGTAATCTACTATTATTAATTTTATTATTATTACTATTGTTATAATTATAAATTGCAGACATACCTCATCGTCGTCATTGTTGACGTCATCTTCCCCCTCCTCCCCCTCATGGTCAGCCCCACTGCTGGCCACGTCCCTACCGAACAACAGTTGCGTCGTACATATGAATTTTATGAAGCATAATTATTTGAGGCTGCTTACGAAACAGTTTGATTGACAGCTATTACGAAACTGCTGTTTGATTTCTCTTTAGTGTTTCATTCTTTTTTTCTGTTCTAATGTATATATACTGTTTCGAGGCTAAAATATCAAATTTTTGTTATACTGTGATGTCATTTTGGCATTTTTTTTATATTGAATTGTGTAATAATGTAATAAAGATACTCTGGTATTATTTCTTTTTCTGAAGATTCAATCGATGTTCTCAATGAATAAATTTTTCGACTTCTCAAATTAGAAGTGTTATTTGATTAAAAATTGAGTCTAAATGAAAAATACCTTGTAAGATTAATAAAACGCACATAATACAATATAGAATATATAAAGTATTTTCAGTAATTAAATAAAAATACAAATGTCATATATGGCCATATATAGAGTAAAAGAAATTAAATAGTTTGTGCCACAAAATGTATATTAAAAAAGTGTTCCATAGTTTTGTTTACAGTGCTGATCACTTTTAGACTTTTCTAAAGAATTTCCGTCTTTTTGTGTTTGTTGCTTTGCGGATTAGCCATAATGGTGAGTTCTAATCTTGCCTGATCGGTTTTAATTGAATTTTGTGTCAGTGGTGTTTATTTTAATTTTATATGAAAATTTTGTAACTCATCAAAATGTGTAATTTAAATTTTTTTTGATGGGATTAGTTTTAACGTAAAAATCTTCGAACATTCAAGGGTCGAGTCAGAACCAAGACCGTCAAAAAAGCTTCGAGAGTGATAATTGAGAAATATTATCCTCGCCTTACTTTGGATTTTCATACGAATAAAAGGCTATGTGAAGAAATTGCCATTATTCCAACAAAGAAGTTGAGGAATAAGATTGCTGGGTTAGATATTTTTTGTTTATCAATTTGATGATTAGAAATTTCTTACTAAAAAGTAAAAATTAACTATCTCAAAAGTACTTCTGCTGATTGCTATGTCTGTATTAGTGGATTGCAGACTTTAATTTGCATTAATCGTTTTATGCAATAATTTTTCAAAATACCTGAATTTATTGATTCTTATGATGCATTTTTCATCATTTGTTTAATATAATTTTAGGTTTGTCACACATTTGATGAGGCGCATCCAAAAGGGGCCAGTCAGAGGTATCTCCATAAAATTGCAAGAAGAAGAGAGGGAAAGAAGAGATAACTATGTACCAGAGGTCAGCTCGTTTAGTCATATTTCTGTCAACTGGCATTGTTACATTATTCATTGACTTGTTAAAAAGTTATCGACTTAGATAAATTTTCATGTTCGTTGACTTGTGTGTGCTAGAACTATAGTACTTGTTATATTTGTAACTCAATGTAGTAATTGTGTTAAGTTATTAACATTATTTAATTTCAGAAATCTGCCATTGATGAGGATATCATTGAAATCTGCCCAGACACCAAAGAGATGTTGAAATTAATTGTAAGTTCTTTTTTTTGTGATGACATGGAAGATGTTATCACAAAAGTTCTTTTAGTGATATTAAAATTATTCTAATAATTTCAGCATTTAGTTTCATATATACATCGATGAAATGGCATAAACATTATTCTTTATTTTTGTAGGATATGGCACATATCCCATCATTGCAAGTAACCACGCCCATCGCCACTGCACCAGCTTTCAAGGGTCCAAGGGCTAACATTCCTGGAACTAACCAATAAGCTGTCGCAGACATCAAATAACTTTGAAATGACTATTAATGTTTTTGTCATTAATAAATAAATTTACTGAAACTCGTTAGTCTGCTTTATAAATGTTTCCAAATCAATTAAAAAATCTGGTTTAAAGTTGTGATTCCACAGCAAAGTTGGTTCAGAACTATTTTTGTAATTGCAATCAGCCAATGGGAAAGCTCAAATGAAATTTCGATGAACCCAGATTATAACTGTTTCAGACTAATTCTTGCATAACGCAAATACGAACTTTATAAATAATAAATTTATTGGAAGCTACGAGCTCATGTTTCAAACGTTCAATCTGTCCTATGTTACTGTACCACGGCCCTACTATGACAGCAAAATCGTTCGCTACTCCGCTGATTCATTCATAGCCTCCCTAGCCAGGGTATGAAAATTCAACAAAAACATTCTATACAAAAACATGCTTAACATCAGACACGAAGCAATGGCAGGTGTAGACAATTTTGTCATTCGAACCCAGTCACACTGCCGATCCAGCAAGTGAGCTCACAACCAAACTGCCACCCACATTTTTCCTTAATCTATGTAAGACTGAAAATTCGTGAAAACGTCAAGAAAAAAAACAAAGAGTAAACCCTTGTGAATATGTAATCTACACCAAAATTTTAATCAAATGTTGATAATTTTATTGATCAAAAAATATCAACGCATTCAATAATTGTCAGTTTTTTTAACTATTTCTTGGCCTTTTTTGACTTTCCTGATTCTGTGGCCGGTTTAGGTGCAGCTGCCTTAGTGGCAGCTGGCTTGGCTGCTTTAGCTGAGGCAGCTGGAACAGGGGCAGCAGGTGCCGGCTTGGAAACAACTTTGGGAGCTGGGGCAGATGATACTGATTCTGTTCTGCTGACTGAGCTCTTCGAATGGGAAGCAGACCTGGTTTTATAATGCAATCATTGTTGTTAATACACCAAAAAAATGAAAGCAACTCTAAAATTTGAAAATATATTGTATAAAATGTATTGAAAGATTGAATAATTAAGCAAAATTAAATAGATGATCTTAAAAATTAGAAGCACAATATTAAAAACCTTCTTCTTTCCATCTTTCTTTCTTTGGCTTCCTTGATACGCTGTGCCAACAATTTCTGGTACTCAGCCTTATCTTCTCTCCTCTTAATGATCCTCTTTCTCTTCAAAGCCAAACGATGACGTTTCCTTTGCAGAACCAGTGGAGTCACCAATCTTTGTATTTTTGGTGCTCTGAACACAGGTTTCTTTCCTAATTATTAACAAAAAAAAGTAATTCTGCATTAAAAAGGGACACATGGAACAATGCTGTAATTCAATTTACATACCTTCTTTGACAGGCAATGGTCTCCTGACCACATATTGTCTAACATCATCTTTTTTATCCAAATTAAATAACTTTCTGATTTTGGAAGCTCTTTTTGGTCCAAGACGACGAGGAATTGTGGTATCAGTCAATCCAGGGATCTCTTGTTCTCCTACAAATAATAAATGATAATCAAGATTTAAATAAAGTGATGCAGCAGTGAATATTAAAAAACTGTTAGTGCAGTGACCACAACAGACCTTTTTTGATGATGACCAAGCTGAGAACACTGAGATTAGCATCAACAATGCACCCACGAACAGACTTTCTTCTTCTTTCACCACTTCTTCTCATTCTGTAGCAAGAGTGGCCATCTTTAAGGAGCAAACGAACTCTTCCATTAGTCAAAACTCCTTGCTTCATCGGGAATCCTTGCTTATCATTTCCACCAGAGATGCGAACAACATAGCCCTAGACACAAAAATGTTTTTAAAATTATGAAAATTTTTTATTTTCAGTTTAAAACAAAAAAAATTAGCTTTCATGTTTTATTGCATACTTTCCATTCATCTCCGAGGCATTCTGCATTAACTTCGGCAGTCAATCTCTTGTCATAAAAAGCTCTAAGTTTCCTTTCATCGTCAACCTCAATCAATTTTTGGCAGCCAGTGGCCGGGCAGGATATATTTAACTGTTTTTATTAAAAAATGCAAATCGTTAAATTTAATGTAAAAATGCATGCGTTAAATCGCCACGTTAAAATTGTAAGTCGCTTATAAAACAGAATAAATCTTTCAATATTTTGTACTAATAAAACACATCTAACAATTTTGATAAAAATATACAATGAAAAATTATTGTTAGAAGCAGATAAAGTTAAAATTTAGATATATTTTAAGAAAATAAATGAAAAATTTTAATAATTTCAACCTTCATTGCGACAGTCGATCAAAACAAGTTGCCGACATGAGAAAAAAAAGAACCTAAATTATTTCGACTTCCTAATGTTTTTGTTAATATTAGTAAGTAAGATGATATGATGATGTTAAGATATTTTCAGAAAATGATTAGTTATGAGGTAAACAAATAGGAATTAATCACGTTTATTTGAAGTTTTAAGAGATTTTTATTTAAAATTTTTTACTCTTTCAAGTTAACATTTGGTACTGACTTTGCTTTACATTTATAAAACCCAACAGTTGTTGGCAGTTGGAAATTGAACGTTAGTCATCACAAGGCGACGCAAGTCATTCTCACGTTCGAGTGCTTTATTTCAATTATTACGCTAAAATTTTCTAAATTTCATTGACCGTACTATAAATTGTACGATACTAATAGCAAATACTGACTTTATTCATACACAAATAGTGAACAAGTTGTGTCCAACGACGCTTCAACAAAACTGTTATATTGACAACAAAAGGAATTGAATTTCTCAAAAACTTTCTTTACAAATACATTAACGTTTGTTTGTCATTCTTGAATGAAAATAATTTAACAACATGGAGAAGATTGCTTCTAATTTAAAAAAAAGATATTTTTAAAAAATGAAAGAACTGAAAGAAAAATTCATAAACAATTAAAAACAAAAGCTGTGTGAGCAGACACAATTCAAAACATATTTCCATCTGACTTTCCAAATCTGGAATCTCTGCCACGGTATTGCAAGGAAGGGTCATAAGGAACATTGGAGAACTGCTGGGAGCCAAACGAAGTGGAAGGTGCATGCCTGACCTTATTTGATGCATCATTGTTACCACTGGACAGCAACTCAAAAATGAACCTAGTTAACTTTAAAATGGCAATATGCAGTCCGTACTGGAGGATGAGAGCTCCAAATCCTTTGTACAATCCCGACATTCCTTCTTCTTCAAGAATCGTCGTGTAACAGTCGAACACCCCTTCATACCTGGTCATAATAGGAACCACCTCGAGTCCCGTGTCGGTATTGTCGATGATCGTCCGAGTCCCCTGACACGATGGACAGCATTTAAAAAAATTAATTAACTAATTATACCTAATGTAAACTTAAAATTCAATAACAATTAATGTAACGTGAAAATAGTTTATCGTTAAAGCCATATTTAAAATTAAAACCGGCATTAACATAGATTCTGAAAGTATTTTTGAAACATATTTCATTCATTACAAATACGTTTTATACATAGATTCATCACATAAAAAAACATTTAAACATTTAAACCAATAATAATACTACAACATCAAAAAAAAGGCAAACAACACGACGATGACGACAACAACAACAACAACAATAACAACAACAACAATGAAATCAGAGCACCTGCAAGAACAATCTGTGCAGTACGGTTTCAAATGGGTACAGGATAGTGTCGGCCAGTAAGTTGCCAGTGAAGGTAGCCACAAGTTCAGGGTAGTGTACTTCATATATCGTTCTCTCAGCCGCATCGTCAGAACTCTGTAGGAATTTAAATCAAATTAAAAATATTATAATCTAATTTCTACAGCCTGTATATGAAAAATTATAAAAATACATTATACCAAACAGTCCATATCTTGAGAATTACAAATATGTTTTCATAAACATGCCATAATTTGAAAGGAGAAAAAATTATAAAGAAATCAATAGAAAAATATAATTTTCTATGAACCATTTCCCAAAAAATTATCCAGAACAATAACCCTTTCAATTTCTGCTTTCATAGAAGCAGACACCCTGTACATAGCAAGAGAGGCGATGATGTAATGAGCCACACCAAAGATGGCGGTGGGTATCAGTAGTTTCCAGATTGGTATCAGGCGAGTGGGTGTCGACGACGTGAAGCTTGCAAGACGAGCGAAACCTTCAATAATGCAGTCGAATACACCGGGCTTCTCACAGGCTATTTCCGACTGGAACAAGGGGTGGGAAAATTTTAAAAAAAGTCGCAAAAATGTTAAAGACTATTTTCACAATTTTAAAATGGTGCACTGATTGAGGAAATCAGGCTTAAAAGTCGAAGCATGTATAAGAAAAACGTCGGCAAACTAATCAACCTGGACAGTTTCAACTAGGCTTGCAGCAAAAAATGGTGTCACAATGATGAATGCCAACCTGTTATTGCACCAAAAATTTTTAAGTTGGTATAAATAAATAAAATGATAAATTAACTAATTAAATGACTAATTGATTTATTAATTACATTAATTATATTTAATTAATAAATGATTACAAAAACTGATAAATACCCTTTAAGCAGAATGTGTTCAGCCATCTTTTTCAATGAACAGTGTCTGTTTATATCCCTATGCACACATGTATGAATATGTGTATGTGTGCATGTGTATATGTAGGTATGTATGTATGTGTAAAATGTATATGTATATGCGTGTACTTGCATACGTATTTGTATAACTGTGCCCATTTCTATTTAGATATGTATTTAAGAGTATCAAAATGAAATAGTAATACATGAAATCAGTGAATTTGTGATTTGATAAATTTTATTACAATTATAAAGACATTCACAACCTAAAAATAACTTGCATACTTGGGCAGTGGGGTTAGTTCATGAATGGTTGCCTCACTGGCCACAGCAATCCCTTTAACCATCAATGTACTTCCTATACCTTTCCATAGTGATGTGACACTCTGATGATGTAACGATGATGTGATTACGCAAATGAATTTCATGATAATATGATGATTGTGATATGATAATGAATATCATCTACAAAGATTATAATTGCAGACATTTTCAAAGCGATGTTTTACCTAAAAGAAAATGCTAATAATGTGATAGGACAAATGTAACAATGAAGCAGATGATAAAGCAGATGACAATGACGATAGAGATGACTTCACTGTGGTGAATTCACTAACAGAGATATAATTGACAGATAAATTTGAGCATGTGCCATCAACAAAATGGTAATTAGAGAAAAGAGATATACAATTCAAAATTTCAACGTATTATAAAAAAAAATCTTTTTACACATAAAGTTAAGTAAACAATATTTATTATGATTTAAGAAGTAGAAAAATTAAAAACGTCACTTGGTGGCGTTGTAGATAGTAAATGGTGGGGAATAGTGTAAAGGGTGTCAGGTGTGACCTTGCTGATGTGTTATGCACCTAATTATGGATAAAAAAAAAGTTAATGAGACTAATTAAAATATAATTACATAACAACTTTGTCAATTTCTGACATGTTTTCATTTAGTTTTGGCAGAAAATAATAACGCAATTAAACTTTTAAAAAAAATTTACAGAATTTAAATGCATATTATATTAAATTATGTAATTAAATTATTTTGAAAATGATTTAAATAAATGATTAAGATTAAGTTTAAAATATAAAATAAAGGTGTACCTGACATTGTCTCCTTAGTACTATGCATGGATGTGATAGAATATGTTCAGAGGCAATACTTTATAATATATAAATATATATATATATGTATATTTTATAATTATTTCAAATTTTATATTTTAGTTATAAATAAAGATATAAAAATGATTAAACAAGAAATTTTTTTCTAAATGTAATTTAAATACCTAGCAAGACCCACTGCCAATCCAGCAAAACGGTGAACATATTCTGCAAACAAATATTTATTATTTCATTAATTTAAATTAAAAAATTTATTTTTTTTCATTGCATACATTTTTAAAACTTTTAAAATGAAAGTTTCAATGTACTTAATTAACTAATTGCAGGTAACCTTTTAGAATAAATTGCATATTTGAAATTTTATTACGAATTACTAATTTGGAATTAGTAATAAATGAAAAAAACCTGAATTCTTATTGCGAATCGGTCTGCTGATCTCTGCAGAAGATATTTTAGAAATTGGCTGGACTGGGGGAAAATTGTATTGAGAACCAAGTTTCTGAACTCGATCATTATTCAAATCAATCCGGTTCCAAGAAGACATTTTTTATTTTTTGTTTTAAATTTGAATGTAAAAAATGAAATATTTTTTTAATTATTTAAAATAAAAACCGATTAATTTTAAAACGCGAAGACGAAATTTGTCAATGATTTTTTAACCCTTGATTAACATTTAAAAAACATAGATAAGTAATTTATGAAAAATTAAAGGTTTATTAAATAGAATCTTAAATCACTTAAACTACACTTTTCACTTATTTAATCAAAATTTTAATTAGTTAAATTAAAATTTATAAAAATAATTATGCAATAAATGTTTAATTTGGCTCAAAGCAGCCGTTTAAATGGTGGGCAGTTTAAACTTTAAATTGTTATTATTAATTATTTTTAAATTCATTTTGCTCTACTGATCAAATTTTAGCAATTAATTGAATAATTGTCTTATAATATTAATAACATTGCCTTATTTTTTATATTTGAAGAATTTCTCATCATAACTAGAAGAATTTATCTCTGTAAGTTGGCTGAATTTGAAAATTTTGTATGATTATGTCTTGAATTTGATTAAAAAACTTAATTAATTTTACCTTAAATTCTTAAATTAAATTAAAAAAATGATGTTACTTAATAGTAATCTGATATATTGTCGAGGGAATGCTAGTCAATCAATCAAGCAATCACTTTTGTAACAAAACTAAATGACAATCTGTGTATCATTTTAATTATATTTTGCATTCCTAACATTAATATCAATACTAGTTATATAACTATAGAAATGATATCTATATACTGGTATATATACATATATTACATATATATCTATAATTTATGTATATATACATATATATATATATTATATATATATATATATATATATATATATATATATATATATATATATATATGTATTTATCTATCCTATGTATAGCATTTGTGTGTGTGTGTGTGCGTGCGTGCATGTATGTGTTTATATTTGAGTTCATTAGAAATGGTTATCTCTCAGTCCATGCCCTGTATTAATATATATAAGTGGCAATTGATACAAATGAAACAGTTAACATTTGTTTGTTCATTTTATTTCATTTTCAGCTTATGCTAACAAAGTATGAGGACATCTGCTATTGACATTGAGAAAAAGATGAATCCATTGTTGGAATCTGAAAGAAAGAAGAATTCGTTTGATGTAGAGGAGATGACAAATGTTCTGGATGGAGGGAAAATTGCCACTGAGAGAAGGAGGTTCATAGGTAAGTGACAGATGATTGCATGGATGATTGCCTGGTTGATTGTGTGGTTGATTGTGTGGTTGATTGTGTGGTTGATTGGCTGCTTATTTGGTTAGTTGATTGGTTGATTTATTATGTTGCTGTTACATTATATATTTTTTAAATGTTTAATGTTTTGTATCCATTACTAACAAACGAGTAGAAAAGTTAGCCTTCACTGACGTTGAGCTCTGGGGGCCAGACGTTCGTCACATGACCAGGGAGGAGTTATTTTTAGAAATGACGAGGAGGCACGTAGAAGCCATAAAGAAATGTAAGAAGTACAATCTAACTGATGCTGTGGATGTTACTAATTTTCAAAGGTATTGTATTGTGTTTGTATTTGCGTATTGTATTTGTGTATATGTTTTTGTATTATGTGCCGTATTGTGTTTGTTATTTTTGTGTTATTTTTTGTTTGAAAAAAAACATACATGGAAATGATGATGATGATGAAGAAGAAGATGATGTGATGGCAATAATTATAATGATGGTAGTTGATGTTGATAATGATGATAATAAAATATTCAAATGAAAGTTGACATTAATTTTGCATTTAGTAATGATTTTGTGTATTTCATTCATTCATTTATTATTCATTCATTCATTCATTCATTCATTCATTCATTCATTCATTCATTCATTCATTCATTCATTCATTCATTCATTCATTCATTCATTCTATCGACGTTTAATGTATTTTTGTTTAAACGTATGTCATGTATGTGTGTGTGTGTGTGTTTGCTGTTTTAAATGATTATGTCGGCTGTTAGAACTCAACGACTTCTAAATATCAACGCTTGATTATTGCCATCCTTCTGTCTTCTTAACTGATTTCCACATAGCGCTCTTACTTAGAAGCATTTCAAATTAAGGCACACCATACATACACGTGCGCGCACACACACACACGCACGCACGCATACTACTTGAGATTAAGGTTAATCACCTCAAGTACTTAGTATATGTGTGTATGAAATATGAAATGAAAAAGAAAGAGTCATAACAGAAAGAGAAAGAGAAGAGAGAGAGAGAGAGAGAGAGAGAGAGAGAAGAGGGTGGGAGAGAAAGAGAGAGTGAGATCCATTTATTCTTCTTACTTAGAAGAACTTTTTTAATAACCACATTGTCCCAAAAGATGGTAATTAAAATTGCTATGATCATGGTAACATACCAATGATCAAAATATGACTATTCCTCGTCAAACTACGCTCAGGATCAGTTTTTTCAACAACATTCAAGATCGGTTCTATTAATAAAATTTATCAACCACTCATGTTTGAGGTAAAACTTAACAATACACTTTATTGACCAATCATATTCAAGGTCAGTACTAAACACCTATGTGACTGGTTTGTCACTGCACCAATTGGTTTTCGTTCCAATGTTGAAGTTGCAATCAAGCGAGGAACAGCTTCGTGATTGGTTACCACTCGTTGACAGCTTCAAGATGATTGGTTGCTACGCTCAGACGGAACTTGGTCATGGTTGGTCGATTGGTATGATTGTTTTAAGGATCGGTCAGTCAATTTATTTTTTAATTGATTAATTAAAAGTTTTGTTTGTAAATTGGTACATTTCTGAGGCAATTGACGTCGACAAATTGAAACGGATAGAATTACTCGATCAATCGGTTAATCAATCGGTTAATCAATCAATCAATTAACCAATCAATCAATGTATTTATTATTCAATTGGTTAATCAATCAACCATTCAACTAACAAACGAACCAACCATTCAACCAACCAACCAACGAACCAACCGAGCTAGGCACATACATACGAGGCATAGAGACGAGTGCCACGTACGACCCGCAAACAGAGGAATTCATACTCAACTCTCCGTCAATATCTTCCATTAAGTGGTGGATCGGTGGATGTTAGTTCTGATGATGATTGGTGGAGAAGGTGATGATGATGACGATGTTATAACGTTTGTTGCTAGGAATGCACTCACACACACAAATACACGCACATCTACAAACAAACACATACACGAACAAAAACACACACACACACACACACACACACATATATATATATATATATATATATATATATATATATATATATGTTGGTAATAGACCATAATTTTTACAATATTCTATAAATTCTACCGAATGTTTGGCGTTAATATGTTAATTCTTTCCGGCATAAGTTTAGTTCATTCTTGACAATGCAATCAACATCACAGTGATCCCATTGACTCAACAACTCAGTTAGTTGATTCGACAAGTCTTGAACTACCTTCTTTTTAACTTCTAATTCTCGAGAGAGATGGAGCAATCGCTGCTCGCGATCTTGTTCGATTGTTAGATTACGTCGGTTGGTCGCAGAACTTCGAGTAAATGTTGGTAATAGACCATAACATATTAACGCCAAACATTCGGTAGAATTTATAGAATATTGTAAAAAATATATATATATATATCTACTTACAAATCAGTACACTTATAAGTTTTTTCTATGCGAGCATACGAATTTACACGCATACACACACATACAGTGGGCAAAACGGCCAATTATGCCTTAATCCTGGCACAGTTGTACACGGACGATGTGAACCGCGGTGTGCACGCATTCCTCGTACAGATCAGAGATCACAATCATATGCCTATGCAAGGCTAGTGGTGATGATGATGTGGTTGTGGTGATGTGATGGTGGTAGTGATGATAGGAATGATGATCAGTATGATGTTAAGGAAATTTATAATAAATTATGAATGGTTAATATGACGACGATGACGATGCTGAATATCATGGCGGTGATATAAATAATAATGCCACACATCTTGGCTAGTTAACAACATCACATGATAACAACATCACATGACGACAACATCACGTGGTAACAAAACCTCATAATAGCAATATGACGTCATAACGACATGACGTCATAACGACATGACGTCATAACGACATGGCATTTCAGGAATTACACTAGGTGATATAGGACCAAAGTTAGGCTTGAACAGTGTCGATAATGGCTTCCTGAAGTTGAGTCACGTTCGCATTCCAAGAAACAACATGCTCATGAGGTATTCCAAGGTTAGTTGGTTCAGTCGTTAAGTAATGTTGATTGATTAGTTGTTCAGCTGTTAGCTCAGCTGGTAAAAATTCTATGATTTGCGTTGTTATAGCGCACTGATCAGGCTCGATGGCTCTCCGTGCGAAACTCAAAAGCTACCATACGTGCTGCGTGTGATGTGTACCAATGCATGTAGTATGTCGTGTTTCGAGCATACAACTCTAATGGAAACTAAATATTTATACCTTGTCTGTGAAAGATGTTTATTGGAGAAACCAAAATCGACTTTTATTCGCATCCATTTAGTAATAATCCAAACGATGCTAATTCACCAACATCTCCAAATAAACAAATGGAAAGGTTCTGAAGGATGGAACCTTCGTGGCTCCCTCAAACACACGTCTGCTGTACGGAGGAATGTTGCAGGCTCGCATCGATCTATCCGATGACGCCATCTACGTCATCTGCCTCTCAATCACAGTGGTCATCAGGTACAGCTGCGTGAGACTGCAGTGCTCCATGCAGAATGAGTTAGTAGGCGGTGCTAACTGGGGGTGTATAATGATATAGACCTTTTCGTCATAGTTTTCATGTGTCCTATTGAATTTATCATCATCATCGTCATCATCATCATCATTGTGTTCCTCATCGTCGTCGTCATCATCATCACCATCAGCCAAGCCGAATGTCAGATAGTAAGTTATCAGACCCAGCAGAACAAACTGTTTCCAATCTTATCATCTGCTTATGCGTACCGCCTCGCCTTTCCCGCCATAAACCAGTGGCTCACTTCTGCTACCAATATGGTGGATCAGGGTGATGTTTCTGATCTTGGAGAGGTTGTTTAGTTGTGCTGATGTTGTGTGTGTGTGTGTGTGTGTGGTGTGGTGTGTGTGTATGTGTGGTGTATGTGTTTGTGTGTAACACCAAAATTGTTCTTCTACAACTTCACTTTTCATTTTTATCGAGGCACACGCTCTGTCGTCTGCCATGAAGGTTCTTCTAACTACCAAATCGGCTAACTTTGTGGAGACGTGCAGACTGTCGTGTGGTGGGCACGGCTACCTGGACGGCTCGAGTCTTCCTGTCTTCTACAGAAACATCGTCGCCACTGTAACTGCTGAGGGGGAGGTGTCGGTTCTCTTGCTGCAGACTGCCAGGTTACATGTCCAGGGATGGATGGGATGGTTTTCAATTGGACATAGTAAATGGATAGATGAATGAATGGATGAATGAATGAATGAATGAATGAATGAATGAATGAATGAATGAATGAATGAATGAATGAATGAATGAATGAATGAATGAATGAATAATTAGATAGATGATTCATTTGTTGCCATCACAAATTTTAAAATCAAATCTTTCTAGGTTTCTTGTTAAAACCTTCGTGAAACTCCAACAAAGTTCAAACATGCAACTGTCACCATTCACGTCTTACTTACTAAATCAGTCACGTGCTCGGAACGAGCCGAAAAAGTTATCATCGTTTAATTTAGAGTCTTTGGTGGATGCTTATCAGTATAGATCATACAGGTATCGTTTTACACCTGTTTGTCTTGTAACAAACAACTAATAAAGTTCCTAACACTAACAATGTAACCATACTTTCATTTATGCACACACAAATATTATTCATATACACAAATTTTTTCAAGATTATTGTCAGCTGTTTGTGAACGTATGAACACGTTGAACGCGAAAGAACGCGCAAACAAGTTCTATGTTTGGAACGCCTGTTCAGTCGATCTTGTTCACTCATCTCTTGTTCGTTTCACTTTTGTTGTTTGTTCGTTCGTTGTTTATTTTATAAATTATCAAGTTGTGTTTCAACTAAAAATTGAATATGTCATTAATTTGGGACTTAAATTCATTTGTAATATTTTGTTAGTTATTCATTTACTGGCTGCTTCGTATAATATAAAATTCTTTCAATGTCTTAGGCGTATACTTGTTATATATAATTTTTTATCATCGTTCTCATCATTTTCACTCATTTTCACTCAATCTCACTCATTTTCACTCACTTTCATGACAAACGTCACCACGCAGGCCCACATAGAGTGTGTCATAGCTACAGTGTTAGTTCAACAACTAAGCGGCAACAGCAACAACAATGTAATGACGTCATCCTCACCATCACCATCATGTTTGTCATGTTCATCCGATGTTCGTCGCGTTCTAACCAATCTCTGTCGTTTGTACCTGTTGAACGGTTTGTTCGAATCATCAGCTGATCTTTTGCAGGTGCCAATGATGACGATGATGAGGACGATGAGGATGAAAGTTTTAGTGGTTATGATTGTGATGAGGATAGTGGTGATGGTGGTTACGATGATGATGATTATAGTGGCGCTAATAAAGTTGATGGCGGAATCATTTTTAAACCGATAGATTTTTTTCCAATAATTTTGCTGGTTGATGTTTTGCTGTGAACTGAAATTAATCTTTTTAACATACATCCACCTCCCGTCTTGCACTAATCCATTATTTCCCCGACTAGTTCAGCTACCTGGACCCCGATCAGGTGACGAGCATGAAGTTGGAGATGTACAATTTGTACGACGTCATTCGTCCCGATGTCGTATCGCTCGTTGATGCCATGGATTTTGATGATAGGTAGGTGCGGGATTCATGTGGGATCAACACGGAATGGGAATTATTAAAATACCTTGCGTAGACGTGTATTCACATTTGTAGTTCCTTACATGCTGTAATGTATGTATGTATTTATGTATGTATGTATGTATGTATGTGTGTGTGTGTGTGTGTGTGTGTGAGCGTGCGTGCGTGCGTGTTTGTGTGTGTGTGTATGTGTGTATGTATGTATGTATGTATGTTAAAACCAAACCATTGATGAATGACACCAAAAGCCAAGCGTCTGACTAAATTTGATTTTATTTGCTATAACGTCACTCAACCCCGTCGGCATTCAACTCCACATTTTCCAACACACAGACGCGCAAAAACCGCTGCAGGATGCACGAGATATTATTCATAGCAAAAAAATATTCCCTACTATCGCCTGACCTAATACTGATATTTTTGCAAATTCGATTGAAAAACCCGGAGGTGTTACGGTCCATGGGGCCGAGGACCTCGATACAAATCGGTAAAAACTCCATCGAGGGGAGAGCTCCGTCGTACTTTTTGATCTTCTCGTCAGATGCCCTGGTTGCAGCCAAACCGCTTTCTTTGCTAGTAAGCTGCACGTAGCGCTCAGCAAAGGTGCCCGGAATGGTAACGTCCCACGCCAAGCACCTGCCGGCTCTCCAAGGGATCAAGGTACACCCGTCAGGGCGTTTACCGTCGTGCGCCGCAATGCCCGACGGTTCCTTTAAAACCGGAATTGAGGCCTTGAAGAAAAGTCGGCACACAAAATCGTTTATGGCTGAATGTCGCTGCTGGCGACCTCCGCCCAAACGACAAACAAGACCATGATGGCCAAGTTCATCCGCCTCCGCGCCGCACCTGCATGTATATCGACTCTGAACGGCCAACCCCAGACGGAAGCCAATGGCTGTCCTGACCGTTTCGTCGTCCAATCTGGTACCCACCGACGTATTGGGCAAAGATCTCAGCCAGCCACAACTCGCCTCGCTGGATACTGCCAGCAAGCGAGCTGAGGTCGCCGAGTCAGGGCTTGAGGAAAGCAACTCTTTGAATGTGCGTTTATATGCTTCCTCCAAAATGTTGCCCTGGGAAAGGTCTGTTGGTTGGATTGGAGTCGGTGGAGTACAGTGTAGGCTGCTAAATTGCCGAAGAAGGGCAGACTGTAGGTCAAGCGTGGCAGATGCGGAAGATTTATAAACAATTGGTGCAAGCTGAACCACGCTTATGTATGTATGTATGTATGTATGTATGTATGTATATATATATATATGTATGTATGTATACGTAGTATGAGTAATGTGTGTACGTCGTATATATGTGTGTGTACGTTTATATGTGTACATATGTGCGTGCGTGTGTGTGCGTGTAAGGTTAACAGCTAAGGTTTTATCTAATCGCATCAGGCATTTGAAGAGCGTTCTCGGTACTTACTGCGGTCACGTTTACGAGGAACTTTATCAATGGGCTCAGAAATCTAAACTCAACGAAACTCAAGTTATTATTATTTGTATTATTCTTTTATTTTAACCTTTTAATTATAATTTTATAATTATTTTTTCTTTCAATGTAATAAAAATATGAATGGCCTTCGTAGTAGAGTTCTTTGATTGTTTTTTTTTAATCTAGGTACATCCATCGTTTCACAAGTACGTGAAACCAACTAGAGAGCTGTTTGTTTCCAAAATGTGATGATGACGACGACGATGATGATATTAATAATAACAAAAATAATAATAATAATATTGGTGATGACGATTGCGTATAACGATGATGTAGATTTGTTAATGATGGTGATGATAATGTTCCCAAAAAAAGTTGTTTTTTGATGATGATGAAAAGGATGATTGTGATTAGAAAAAGAATTATAGTAAAGATAGTGTTTAAATAATGGCTTACTGTGTATTGAATTATTATATTGAATTTTCTGTTAAGTAATCAAATAATTATCCATTCATTCATTCATTCATTCATTCAATTATTTATTTGTTTGTATATTTATTTATTTATTTATTTTCCGGCTTATGATTTTTCAATAAAAATATTTGGCAGACTTCACAGACCAAGATTTTATTTGTGAATTTATAAATAATGTGCTAGTAGTTAGTAAAATAAGTAATTGAAAAAATAAAATAAGTTGTATTAGAATTCTATGTTGTTTTTGGTACATCCTCGCTCTTCCGCGTTATGACGTCATCGTGGCAACAAATGTCATCGTAGCCATCATCAACTATGTCGTCATACATGGGTGGAGATGATTGGTTGAGTGTAGGAAGGTCTGAAACTCGAAACATACGGATTGCATGATCCGACATCCGAAACTTAAGCGAGTATTTTGAAATTTATTATAATTATTATAAATTAAAAAAAACTCTTCCCTAATAAAAAAAATTAAGTTAATCTTTTATTACGTAAAAAAAAATTCGACTCCGGTGGGACTCGAACCCACAACCTCCGAATTACATCTTCAAACCACTAGAAGTCCGACGCGCTATCCATTGCGCCACGGAGTCTTGTAAAACTAGATGCAATATTATACTTTATATTTTAACAAACAAACCACTAATATTCATTCCTAATTAAATGAACCTTTTGTATTTTAATTAACTTACCTAAGTAAAAATGCAAAAATAAAGCAATTAGTTTACTCGAGAACTTGTTATGATGTGTAGTCCAGTGTGGTCCCATTCCATATCTAACGAGCAGACACCATCATCACTACTGCTACTAACACTTGCATAATCATATTCAAATTCATATCTTTCGTCATCATCGTAATCATCTTCTAAATCAGCATCAAAATTATATTCAAAATCGTCGTCGTTGTTGTTGTGTATGTGGCTATTTATTCTTCCAAACTTATTGAAATATCTTCGATACTTGTAAATGTACCAAATTAGAAGCGTCGTCAGAATACTCATTATTATAACGGCTAGAAAAATAACTTAAATAAATAATTAATTGAATTATTTAATTAATATACCATTTAATTAGTTAATATACCATTTATTTTGTTTATCCCATCCAGTAAATAAAATGTTTTACTCAAAATTACTAATTCAAAATTATAAAATGTTCGCTAGGGGAATTTTGATAATTCACAATATAATATCTATCAAAAATATATCATTTACTTGTTATAAAGTTTTCTGTGAAATAAACCATTTCTTTTTAAACATTAGAAATACATTTATTTGAAAACAATTATTAATTCACAAATAAGAAAATGTTATGTTAGAAACAAATCAATAGTATAGTTAACAGTGCAAGAGGCTGATTTGAATAATAATTATAACTACAAAATAATTATGATATAAGAGTAAAGATGTACATCTAAGAGTTGTTATTTTGTTTGAATTACAAAAAAATAATAACGTCGAAAGACATAAAATTCAAATTAAATTAAACTAAATGGTCAACTTCTATTAAAGACCATGTTTTAATACCGGAATATAGCTGGAACATATATCCATCTATGTCTAGTAAATATTGTAAATTATTTAGCCTTTCAATTCATGGATATATATATATATATATATTCATGTTTCAATCATCAAACTATACCATTTCATGTTTAGGATATTTTGTACTACATGAATCTAATAATAAACAGTCTAATTCGCTATACAAGCGCAATATTCCAAAACTTGAACTATAGTATAGTGCATCCTTCCTTCCATTCGATTTATTCAAGTAACTATTGAACACATGGATATATATCAATGATTGAACATTATTATATGCTAAAAAATCGAACTATTCTATATATTTAAATTAGTTTTTACATGGTTACATTCAAGTTATATGATTTTTATTCATTAAAAAACAGAGTTACTTGAAAAACTCGTTAGAAAAATGTTTTTTCATGTATGTTATTGTTATATTATCGCTCAAAATCCATGTGTAGTTTTGTAGCGAAATCGATCGCTAAATTATTGTTTATTTTAAATTAAAAAAATTTTTTCATTTGCATTCTAAAATGGACGATTTTGCCGAAAAAAAACTTCAAGTTAAATTTGTGACGAAACAATTGAAGTATGCATGGCCGTTTTCATTTGGCTTTCGCTTTGGCGTTTAGTTTTTACTTGTCTAACATTAGGATTACATTTAATAATTTTTATGTTTATTCTTAGTTTTATAATATAAAATTATAAATATGAAAATTATATAATATAAAATTATAAATTTGTATAATAAAAACATTTATTATTTTTGTTTATTAATTTTTTTAGTTTATTTTATTTTATAAATATGTATATGTATGTTTAATTAAATTTTATTATTAACAAAATAACTTCTTCCATCAAAGTTAAAAAATGAAAATCCATTTTTATATCTAATTTTTTGTTACCTGGTTTTGAAAATTCAAGATATGCCATACCCGATGTGCCGATTTCACTACCTGAAAATGTGAGCACCAAGGAATTGAACAACCTCATCAATCAACTCCTTTTTCCTGGTCTGTGAGATTTATTTTTTGGTACATGTTTTTTATCTTATCATCAAAAAACTTAATATTTTTGATATTTATATTTGTGTTTTATTTTCCAAAATTTTAACAGATCAATCAGCAGATGTTTACGTAAATTTTGATTTTTTGATAAATGATGAGCTTTTGCGACAGAGTCTCATCGAGCATGTCACTGAGAAGGAGATTCAAATTGTTTGTTGAGTTTGTTTAATTCATAATTCATTTAAACTTCATAACATTTCATCTGATTACACAATTCATCTAATTCATATAATTAATAATTCATTTAATTTACAATTCATCTAAAAATCTAAATGTGTTAATGTCATTCAGGAAGATACGATAGTCATCGAGTACGTTGACAAGCTGCCAGCACCGAGCGTTGGAGAATGCTTGATGCATAATGATTGGATAGCTGCAGTCAAGGCCCACCATGATAATCTGTTAGAGGCCTTAATTGTGCATATGCTATGCTAATTATGTGCTTATACTATGCTAATTATGTGCATATATTATGCTAATTAGGCCTAGTTTGGCTTTAAAAACCTCAAATGTCAACCCAGTTTATTAATAATATTGCATAGTTTAAATTAGAACACATTATTTAATTCAAAATGCCTATATTTAGTAAATACTTAAATTGAAATGAAAAACTGAACAATTTTTTTCTTATTTTTTTCTAACCATCCAACTTTCTTTCCGTCGATTCATCCATCCATCCATTATTCATTAGTTCATCTGTTCATCAATCCATGCATCTATCATTGGATCTATTCATGCATTCAGGATATTGACAGGATGTTATGATGGGAGCATAGGATTATGGAGAACTAGTGGAGAGATGTTGATGATGGTGAGAGGGCACGAGGCCGCAGTCAAATCAGTTGCCTGGTTGCAAGGTATGTCATGTTGCGCTATATTTTGATTTCAGGTTTTTCCAAAGTAAAGTTTAATTTGTAAATTAGTTTCTGTTTCACAATGGTTTCACTTTTTCAATGTTTATATCTGCATCGTTTCTAAAATGCGTGTGTGTATGTGTGTGTTTGTTAGCTTGAGTGTGTGTGTTTGTGTTTGTGTGTGTAGTTTTGTTATATTTTCTTAATTTTCATTGTTATTTTTGTTATTACTATTGTTATTACAATTATTACTACTTAAAATTAAAAATATGAATATATTCTATCAGATGTTGGCCAAGAAAAAAGATTTGTGTCTGGATCAGATGATGGAACTTGCGTCATGTGGTCACTCAACATCCACAACATAAACAACAACAATAATAACAATAGTAATAACAACAACAATAATAATAATGTCTTAAATTGCGGTTTTCTGAAAAAACTTCACACGTGTCCAATGCCAGAGTTGAGTCCTGATTCTGCGAATGCTACCAAACCACAAAATGTTCAGTGTGTTGCTGCTAATTCTGATAAGACTCTGGTAAGTTTGTGTGTTTCTCTCTCTCTCTCTCTCTCTTTCTCTCTCTCTCTCTCTCTCTCTCTCTCTCTCTGTGTGCGTGTGTGTGTGCATGATGCATGCCCTTGTATGTCTGTGTATGTGTTTTTGTTGAATAATATTTTTTATCATTTCAATTGTTTATTATTACCTATCACAGTTTGCAAGTGGTTCTTGGGACTGTGTTGTCAACATTTGGTCTGCCAGTGAGTCCCATTTCTTTTCTTCCTAAAAAAAAAACCAGTTTATAACTTTGTAGATGTCAATCGCTGTTGTGAATTATATTTTTACATGGTTCTAATATTTTGGTTTTTGCACTGTTTTGTTCGATTTCGTTTCGTTTCGTTTCGTTTACAATACATTACATTACATTACATTGCATTACAGTACTATGATTTTCTGCACCTTTAATTACATCTCTATTATTGGATGCTATTTGTTCACATTTTTGTTCAATTGAGTTCAAGGTGTCTTTATTTCAAAATTAATTTCAATCTTCTATACTTAATTATTATTGGTTGGGTGTGATATTCTTCCCCCAAGGCTTTTAAGACATCCATTAACATAATTTATGTGCATATTGATTAATTTTTTCAATTAGTCCCAAATTTGGGTGAGAGTCAAACTAACGTGCAGCTGATTGATGATGGGAGGAAGAAACGAAGAGTGGATTGCCAATCAGTTGAGGCCTCGATTAGGGTTGGGTTTTTGTATGTTTATGATTATTTCTTCAATAATTTTTGATAATTGTATTATTAGGATATTATTTTGTTATTTATTCACCAATTCATCTGTTTTATTCATTCATTCATTTATTTATTTTTATGCCAAATCAACGATCATTCAACAATCTATCAATCTGTCTGTGATTTCAACCAACCAACCAATCAATGAGTTCATGAAAACCAATCATTAAGCAAACATCAACCAACCAATCGATCGTTCGATAAATCAACAACGGAAACATTCAATCAACAAATAAAATCAATCACCCAACCAACTAATCTATCATTGACATGACCTAGCTACCAGTCCAAACATTCGAGGGTCCAGAAGTGGGTCACAAAGGTCAGGTGACCAGCGTTGATTGGTTGGATAGTTCAAAAGTCTGCAGCTCATCTTGGGACCATTCAATCAAACTGTGGGACGTTCACGCCGGCCGGATGACGTCATCAATCGTTGGTTTTGATGTGACGATGATGATATTTATTATTATTATTTTTATTATTATTTCATACCTACTCACTCACTTACGTACAGGTGGGAAGCAAAGTATTTTTCGACCTGTCCTACTCGCCGCTGAATAACCTCATAGTGGCTGCCTCCGCCGACAGGCATGTCAGATTGTACGACCCCAGAATCACTTGTGAGTTTTTATTTATTCTATGTTTTATCTGCATTTATTTAATATCTTTCTTTCGGTGTTATCTGTATTTTATTTAGTATCTTTCTTTCGGTGTTACCTGTTTTATTTAGTATCTTTCCTTTGGTGTTATCTATGTTTTATTTAGTATCGCGCGCACACATCACATACACATACACTTTCCACACAATTCACACGCACTCCACGCACACACACTTGACACACACAAGCTGGTTCAGTGGTAAAGAACACGTTCACATCGCACACTGGTTGGGTGTCGTCTGTTCATTGGTCGCCTGAGCAGGAGCACCTCTTTATGTCCGGGGCCTACGATTGCGTCACTAAACTCTGGGACATCAGGAGGTGGGTGAGATTAGTATAGATCTCCTAATTTGTTTTGTTTGTTTTGCTGCTCATATAATTGTTATTGTCTTCGATGCCATTTTCTGTATTCGTTTTAGAAATGTTTAATAGTTATAATATCTTTCATCACCCGACAGTCCCAAGGCATCGCTGTACGACATGCGAGGTCACGAGGACAAAATACTTTGCTGTGATTGGTCGATTGCAAATGACCTAATTAGTGGAGGGGCCGATAAACAGTTAAAGATATTTCATAAGAATAATGACCGATTGGCTGATTGATTGATTTGTTTATTGGTTGATTAATATTGATTGATTGATAGGCTGATTGATTTGCCAGCTGATTGGTTGGTTGATCGGTTGGCTGGTTGGTCATTTTGCAGTCTAGTTAATGGGTGTTAAATTGATAATTGTAATGAATGATTAATAATACAATTGACGAAGTCTTCCTGTTGGAACGATGATGATGGCGATGATGATATTGATGATGGCGATTTTAGATATATATTTGATACTACAACGTACCAAACTGAACAAACGTCATTGTAAATAACTTTGAAACACCTGTTATGAGTGTGCCTTGTTCGTTTTGTGTGGCTCTGTAAATATTTAACAGTAATAATAATAATTAATAATAATTGTGATAACAATAAAATGATACAACTATTAATAATAATAATAACTCGAATTGAGTTATAAGTGTGAGTGTGGATATATTGTTACCAATAAGTTATACCGAGTCTCACAAGATGACAGTTGTAATTGAAAATAAGAAAAAATATAAAATGATATTTCGTAGCAATCTTAATGAACTTGTTGTAAATGTGTAAAAGAAAACGCATAGCAAACTAGCGAGCAAAGTTTATAGGATTTCAAGTTTGGATGTAATGGACACGTGTGAAGATCGATTGGTTCTGTGGTGTAGTGGTTATCACGTCTGCTTTACACGCAGAAGGTCGCGAGTTCGAACCTCGCCAGAACCTGTTTTTGTTCTTGCCTTAATCAGAAAAAGTGCGATTGCACTCCATCTAGTTTCTTCAAAATTCGACCAAATATTTTGTATAATAGTTACGAACACTGTTTGTCGCATCAATTGCACGTTTTGCCACAAATCCCTAACTACCAACCAATATAATTTTTGCATTGGTTCAGTATTAACATTAAACGTTATCTGTAACAGAAATATCATATCGACACACAAGTTTATTGCAAGAACACATCTTAAAATGGTTCTACCAGGTATTGAAATGTTATTGACAGTGTGAAATGTTAGGTTAAAAAACATTATCAGACCACAACCAACAATCATGACAATCTGGGAACAGTTCATCCCACATGCGGTTACGCTTTTTAGTTTTCAACGTAAAGTGACAAACTGAGAAGGAACAATATTTTTAAACTAAAACAAGACAACAGAAGACAATTCCCAAAATCTTGTGGTTAACTCGTTGCTTGCAGCTACATAAAAGCTGCGACGAGACCCTAACTTTGAAATATTTATCGGTTGTTTGCTTTTTTGACCAATTTTTTCCAACTACCCAAACGAGTTCAAGTTCATTAATTTAGTTATTTTTCGGTAAAGAGGACAACACATGTCAACGAATGCACCATCTGAAATGAAACAGCAATTGTATTCTAATTTAATATCTTGCGAGAAACTCAGCATGAACTCTGCCTTTGCTTCTTCTAAAAAATATTTTAACGAAAAAAAATGGTGATTCCGTTTAACAAAAATTTTACGACAACCAGCACGCAAGAATGCAGCGGTAGAAATAGAAAGCATTGTGAAATACTTCAACAATTTTAATAACAAATCAAAAATCATAGTTAAGAAAAGTTCCTAGATATCCATCATTGAAAAGTATAAATTTGTCATTTAACTATAGAGAAGACTCGTGTTAATAAGAAGTGAGAAATAATTTAACCAAATCGACCAAACCAAAGAAAACTTTTTACCGAATTGAAGCAGTGCAAAAAATAAAATTGAGCTTTGGGATGCAATTTAAAATTAACCGAAAATCAACTAACACCAGTTTATTTTATGTGGTGAAGGATCATTTTGAAATATAATGAATACAACTAGGCATTCAGATGGATTAATGAATAGATTGACAGTCATTTTAATACGAATATATATGCAATTGATGTATAAGAATGTTAACTAGATATATAGACACGTTAACTTGACAAAAAACACGTTAACTTGATATATAAACCGAACAACGACAATGAAATATACATAATATATCTTAACATCATTATCATAGTTGCTGCAGCTGCCGAAAAATGGCAATCATCATGCAAACATCAATGCTATAATCATCATGTAAACATCAATGCTATAATCATTGTTCAACCACATGAAAGTCACTATCAATATCTGAATTAAATGATTAAGTAGATAAAAAAAAATTAAGCTTAAACAAAATAATAACAAAAAACAAACAAAAACAGCATCAACAACACACATGCACAGTACATATAACACGTTTGTGATAATTTAGATTCGTATATTAAACTGAACAAATTGTTGGTATTTTTCAGGTATACTGGATCCATTGATGCTTTATATTACCAAACAATAAAAAGAGGAGAGAGATAGGGAGTGGAGAGAGGGATCAAAAAGTAAGTGTGAGAGATAGAAATAGAGAGAGAGATGGATATCGTTGGTCTACTTTCTCAGTCTGACATCATCGCCATTCTTGGCTGGATTCCTGCAATTTTTATTTATTTATAATTTAGTAAACTGCTGCCCGATGTGATAGAACTATGCAGGCCAGCAGCGCACATCTAACTTTATAAAATTCATTACATTATAACAGTATTATCACTGAAACACATCAAAAAACCAACAAGCAACAATACACTTCAAGGCATCAACAATATCCGGGTTATAAACTCAACATTACCTACATTATCACAACAAAAAACAATCAGCAAAAAACAAACCAACATCCTTGAATATAAAATCACCAGCATATAAACTTTCACAAAGTTATGACGTAAAGAGCAACGACATCGCACACAACGAACAAGGAAAGCGGCGACACTAACAACTTGTCAACTTCCTCTGGAGCAGCAGCTGCTTCCTTAGCTGCTTCCTTCTTGCTTCTCCTCTTTTCGTAGATGAAGATGATGATGCACAGGATAGCTACCTCAGCGCAGATGCCCAAAAATGGCCACATAGCTGCAAACTTATCTGGTCACCAAGCGTTAATTAATTCTATTAATAACTTAAAATTCATCTTATTAAAAGAATATTTTCAAATAAATGAACCCAAAAACAGACAAGCAAATGTTATAAACCCTAACTAACCCTTGACATTGATTTCAAATTCGACTTTGGATTTTTCAGGAGTATCGAAGAAGCAAGTGTACTTGCCGGCATCTCCATACTCAACTGGCTGGATTCTAATTGTACCATTTATCGTCTGCCATTGTATTTTAGCACTACTTTTAATATTAAGATTATTGTCGTTGCTAATCTTGTCATTTTAGTTTCTGTTGTTAGTAGCCTCAAAAATGAAGCCATTAGTGTTGGAGATGTATGTAACACGTACAGAAAAGATAATGAGAGTTTCAAAAAAAATCTATACCAAAACATACCACAGTTTTGTCACTCTCATTGATAGACTTGAAGGTAACTCTTGGGCTGTCAGCGATTGGTTTCGAACCATTGAGGAAATGGGCAACTGGTGTGGGGAAGCCATAGGCCTTGCACTCAAAGACAAAGGTCTCCCCACTAATGGCATTCTTCGTAACTTTGTCCTTGATTTCTAACACTGGATCGACTTTTTGTGTGGTGTTGTCGTATTGGCATGTTGTATAACGAGTAGATGATGTTATTTCTTGTTGGTTGGATGGTTGGAATGATGGCGGCTAATTGAGAATAACAAAAATAAAACAGCAACAACAGCAAAGATAATAAAACAGAAATAAAAACTTGATGATAAAAAATAGTCATACTATTTAAACCTGGCCATAAATACCAAAGCTCACGTAGCAGATAAAAAATTCAGATAAAAATAAGTGGAGTGTCAAGGATCACATAAAAAACTTCACAAACCTCCTCATCACATCACCTCATTGTCAACAACAACAACAACAACACACGTTTAGACGACATTTTCCCCGAAATCGGGGGTTGCCGTTTGGCTACCTATGATGAAACCGAAATACCCCTCGCGCACCCTCTTCTGCCGGATACTGAGGGCCATGGTCACTTCTGTCATCATAAGTAATTTATTTGGCTAATTTTTACGCAGGACGCCCTTCCTTACGCAACCACAGTTATAAGCGGTGGGCCTAGCCTTTGATGATCTAACATCACTCACAAGGCAGTGAGGGTCAGTTTAATGTCATAACCAGGACATTATGACCAGGACAGGTCAACAACAGCTAAAACAATTATAAATACCCACACAAACATAGGCATACACATTTATTTACACATATACACACACTACTCAAACACATACATTAGTTCAACAACCAAGTATCACAAAAACACACACACACACATATATATATATATACATACGCATGTGTGTGTATGTACACTCATGCATGGCATGATATTAAGCAGATGTTTGATACAGAAATATAGAACAATTTGTATTTAATGTTAACTGGTAGCAAAGCCAATACATTAAATTTTATTGAATATTATTTCTGCTCTGCAACAAACACACACACACACACACACACACACACACACACACACACACACACACACACACACACACACACACACACACACATTATACAAACGGAAACATGCACACTATTTCCTACTGTGGAACACACACTTTTATTATACATACCTCACTGTACAACATTTATGTACATTGAAACATTCAAGTACTTATAGTGTGCCCCATAAACGCATACACATTTTGCACTATCTGCTACAACAGTATTAAGTACCCATTAAATCAATCCTCGTTTATAGTCTCCATCCATATGGATGTGTCAGGACTATTAAGTACACATCAAAGTACACAAATAATGGAACTACACATATACCACTTAGATATATGTATGTGCACTTAATTGTGTGTGAATTAATTGTGTGTGAATTGTGAGTTATAAGATAATGTAGGCATGTTGCAAAAACTGTAATTTTAAAAACGTCATCTGCGCTAGTTATTTTTTTGTAAAATGAAAAAATTATTTGAGAAAAAAAATTAAGTATAAAAATATATTTTTGCCTAAAAAAACGTCATTCATCAATAATTAGCTGGCAGACATGATGTTGCAGAAGAAATGAAGAAATAAAATTTTGTGTTGTACTGTTTAAAAGTTAACAGACTCATATAGCTCAATAAAACTTTAGCAATGGGCTCATTATCATTATTGTAGTAATTGTAAATAACATTATTATTATTGTCATTACTGTAGTTATTTATTATCATTACAAATAGTTATTTACTATCATTAAAAACAGTGTTGTCATTAATGAAGCAACACTTAATCCCAGTCATTGTCATGAATAGCTGATTAAATGGAGATAAAATGATTCAGTTTATTTTATTAGCTAGCTTATAAACTAAAACTAATAGCATGATGAATGAACTGAGAATGTTATTTATATGTTAAATGAACAATTGAATGACAAATGGTTGTCTGAATGACAAAATAATTGTTTGATGATTGTCTCTGAACAATGACAAACTGAGAAACTCACTGACTCAACTGATTGATTGGTCAAATAACTATTTTATTGATAAACAAAATGATCATAGGATTGACTGGTTAAATGAATGATTGAATGACAAAATGATTAAGTGATTAACTGACCAACTTATAAATTATCAAATGACTAAATGAATTATATAACCAAACGTTAACTGAGTGATAGTTGAATGAATAAACGAACAATCAAAAGAATATACAGAATGAATAATAAATAAATGAATGAATGAACTAAACCAACCTAAAATTCCTTCTGAATACACTGGTGTTGTTTCATTAGCAACCTCAAAGCATGTATATATCCCCATTGTTTCTTTTGCTATGAATGAAAATTGAATGAAGAGATGAAAAATTAATTGGAAGAATAAAAGGTTGATTAAAAGAATAAATGATTGAAAAAAATAAATGAGTGAATAGTTGAGATTGTTATTAATAAGACAGATGAACAATTAGTCAAGTAACTAACAAAAGTTTTTAAATTAAAAAAAAATTCTTTTTAAAATACAACTGCACTAACTAACCCACAGTAAAATTGACATAGCGACCATTGAAATGAAATAGTTTCCCGTCAGTAATTTTTTCATAGTTGAGATGCCATATGACACCTTCTGAAGATTCACCAGGACACAAAAGGTTCACCTTCTCGGTGAAGTTGCGCTTAATGTTACTAACAGGATCATTCTTGCCAGCTTATTTAATAAGAAGAAAAGAATAAGAAAAGAAATTAAGATATTTTATTTTAAATTCTAATTTAAGAGTTTAAATAAAGTAGAATCATCTCAAATTGAGTCATTCATTTAGTATAATCACACATTAAAATAGTAGGATAATTTCTAAACTAATAGTGAATAGTTCATCACCATCTAGCTACTAATTAATTTTAAGATTTTAACAAAGCTAAACTGAAAACAATTCATGAAAAACCTTTTAGTATGTATTTCAATTACCAGATTATGATTATATTACAATATTATATTATAAATTAAAACTATTATTTGTTTTTAGTAAGATAAATAATAAATTACTAAATAGTAATCAATATTCTTTTATCATTGTTTAACTGTTTCTAGTGAAAAGGGAAGACAAGGACATTCAATTTTATCTAAATTTTATTAAATTAAATAAAAACTTTATAAAATTTCAACCAAGAAAATAAAATTAGAAAATGATAAAAAAAATAAAATTTTCTAACCAACATCTGAGAAAATAAAAGTAGTAATTATAATGAATATGAAAATTTTAAACATTTTTGAATCTGACAGTAAATCTGGCAGTAAATTTTCGTGCTGGTGTAGCAGTTAATTTGTATTCAAATCACCTAATTAAAAAATAATTAAAAAAGTTTATAATATAAATTTTATAAATGAAAATCGAAAATAACTTCATTTTTAACATACTTAGGACAAGTATGTTAAATACAAGCTGTATTTAGTTTATTAGTTGCACCGTGGGTGGAGCTTATGAGTCGCTTTAAACTGCTGACTATAAATAAATATTACTGGAAAAACCACTTTGCCGTCTAGTCTCCAGTTACCTTAGTTTATTGGTATCTACCACGATGTATATAAAAATCATAAAAATCTAAATATCAACAGAAAATGGGTTAAAGTTGAACTTACTGTTAAACGAATGAACGTGTGAACTAAATTGCTACCAAATAAAGCAAAAATTAATATGAATGTAGAAATTTAACAAATAAATTATTTTAACTAATTTGAAGTTTATTCCAACCAATGAAAAACCAATGAAAAATGGACGAACTTGAACATGAACCCTATCAAAAGCAACACGTGATGTTAATTAGTGATGAAACAGAACATAGACATCTCAATATCTTTTATTTATTTTTTTTATTTTTTTTAGTCTTTATTATTGCAGCTCTGACCATAAATGGCTCTGACATACGCAGAACTTATTATTCTAGTTATGTGCGCAAAACCACATACAATGTTACAGATATATTATCTTTATATCTTTATTATGTTGTTCATATCTTCATCCATTGATTTGAAGCAGCCATTTTCGCCACAAAGGCTGTTTATCCTTTTCACACGACATACACATGTATTTATGTGCACGCGCAAGCACCGCCTCATATACGCAGAGTACATGATAGCCATTGAGATGTTTGATTCAGTGAGCATTTGAACCACTGAGCTATCTTACCGGCCAACATGCGACAACTTACGTTGTCTACTCACTTACCAGCCTCGAAAGGATGGACGGCTGGATTAGCCGGGGTTCGGCTACCCAGATGAACCTGTAGAAACTGCGGGATTCGAAACCCTAAAACTCTATACTTCCTTCTCTGACTACTTCTCCCTAACTTACGAAGTTCAGAGCGAATCTCAAGACTCATCTGTTTGCAAAATTCATTTAGGAGCGCTGTTGAACGTCGCGGAAATAGCGCTATATAAACTAATTGATTGATTGATAGATAGATAGATAGGTAGGTAGGTAGGTAGGTAGGTTGATTGATTGATTAATAGACTGACGGACCAACTGACCGACCGACTGACTGATTGATTTGTGTACTTTTAGATGAACTTTTTGTTTATACTCATCCTCAAACGGCCATCAATTTTATAAATAGTCTACGTTACTTCATTTACATACAGATGCCAGATAGAATAGAATAGAATAATAATAATATAAACATTTATGAAGCGCCCATTCGCACAGCTGCTTCAGAGGCACCCGGAGCCCGTGTTAAAAAGATGAGTCTTTAATCCCTTTTTGAAAAGACTCAACGAGGAACTAACTCAGGAGGTAACGCATTCCAGACATACGGAGCAGCGTGACAAAAACCGCGGCCAGCCAGGCGGGATCCGGCAACGGGAATGTTTAAGAAACCTGTTGAGCTGCTGTGGAGTGATCTAGTATGTTCATGTCTGGATATGAGGTCGTATAGATATGTTGGGGATTTTAATAAAAAGGTTTTGAAGGTAAGGACTGCAATTTTGAAGATGATTCGAGCGGAAATTGGAAGCCAATGAAGCATTGGAAAGAGAATGGAAGAACTAAAACGAGGAGGTTTATTAAATATCAGTCTAGCAGTTTTATTTTGGATAGTCTGTAGCTTTCTGACAGATGCACGTGAGGCCCCATACAATAAGGAGTTGCAGTAGTCTAATCTAGAAAGGATCAAACATCTGCAAAGGACAGCAGCAACATCACATGTAATCGTATGTCTAATATGTCTTATTGCGCAGAAGGGATAGAATCTGACGATTTTTGATATGTGTTTATCAAAATTTAGATGTCTGTCAAAAGTGACCCCAAGCAACTTGATTGCACCCGAGATAGGCAATGTGGACCCTGCTATGTCCATTTCCTCGAGCTGAAACCTCGACAGTTGTTGATGTGTCCCAGTGACCATAATTTCAGATTTGTTGGGGTTGAGAAGAAGGAAATTATTAGCATACTACCGAAAAACCTTGCTAGTACAATTGCTTAAGACTCGAATGCTGCTTTTAAGATCGCCAAAAGTGACAGATGTATGCAGATGAGTGTCATCGGCGTAGTGATGAGAAAATAATCCATTTTTACTAAAAATGTCGCTAACAGGAGACACATAGGTAGTGAACAAGATTAGACCGAGGACAGAACCCTGAGGGACTTCAGTGTCAATCAAACAGGTAGAGGAAGTATGGTTTCCCAGTTTCACAACTGCTGTCTGCAGTTCAGGTAAGATCTAATCAGTGATAGTGCATGACCATCCACCCCAAACTCTTGTTGTAGGCGTTCGAAAAGAACCGAGTGACTGATGGTATCAAAAGCAGCGGACAAGTCGAGCCCAACTGCAATGATTACCTTTCGGTTGCAAGCCTCATTAAAAATATCATCAGCAATGTGTAGCAATGCAGTCTCAGTGGAATGATGAGAACGATAAGCAGATTATGATTGGACATTAGTTGGGCACGTAGTCTTAGCAATATGACGCGATCAAGTAGCTTTGAGAATGTTGATAAGTTTGATATAGGGCGGTAATTTGACGGGTCATCAGGATCCAAGGATGGTTTTTTCAGTAGTGGTAGAACCTGAGCAGTTTTATAAAGTGAAGGAAAGCATCTCGTGCTGAAGACAGAGTTAGTCAGCTTGACCAGAATAGATGCTAAGATCGACGAGAATTGCTATAGCATTGAGGTTGGAATAGGATCAATGGGTGATGTTTTGTTTGGTAGAGAGGCAATGAGTTTAGTCATCTCATCACAATCAGTATCAGCAAATTGAAGAAAGATGTCGCCTTAATATGGACGAGCAGGGAAAGTGACAGAGGTGGATTTAGATTTGGTTTTCTATATACATGTATAGTTTCGTCTATTATTATTACTAAAATAGCTTTCAACTAAGCATTTGTATATTAATATTAAATATATTGTATATTATTTAGATGCTATTACATTTTCTCCGATTTAATTGTAGTTCTATTTTTGTCAATAAACGTATCATTTCATTAAGCTCTCATTTGTCTTTTGAACGTGCTTCAGGGGGCACTAAGACTTATCTCATTTGGGTTTTGCCTTTGATTTATGTCTGTTTCATGGATATATATATATATATATATATATATATCCATGGTCTGTTTAGTTAAATATAGCATTCAGTGTGTTGAATTATACAATATTGTAAAAAATATAAAATTTTTAATTACTCTTATAATTTCGATCACGTTTTGCATGTTTCAACTCAACTGATTCTTTGTAATTTGTACGTCAGAGTCTGAATATTTTGAAAGAATAACTGAAATAAAATCATCACAGAACTGTATGCGCATTGGTTTAGAGTCGTAATATGAAAATATGTAAATCACTAATTACAAATGCTGTATATTTTGTTTTTTTTGTGTTCAAAAACATTAAAAACGAAAATGAACCAAATTTTTATAATGGATGTAAAACACAACCCATTACAAAATCTGTTTTCGCAAGCAGATAAAATTTTGTTGTAACACGAAACGTGATTTCATTACAAAGTTTCATTTGAATGTTATATAAATTTTTTCTTAATATAAATGCTCTTAAAATTTTAAGTATGACAGCATAACATTTCCAAACGCATTCTATCAATAGTATAGAATAAAGTTTAGAGTTTGACACGCACGTTCAAAGTTGAACAACCATTTTCATAATGTTTCGTGTCGGTGCTGTCGTTTGAATTAGGTGCATTTTAAGCAAATTTGTAGACTATTTCAATCAAAATTTTAAACAAATATAAATATTGGGTCGATGGCTTCTTATTTTTACAAAAATTCTCACTCTTCTAATTCAAAGGTGAGTTAATTTAAAATACAAAGTTCGTTTGAAACTGTTAATAAATTGACCGTAATGTTTTAACTGCTTCTAATGTATTTTAAAAGCATGCAAATAATTATTTGTAACACAGGTTAACAATCAGTCCCAGTTCAGGTCCGTTACAATTGAAAGATAACGATGGTCTGCTTGCACATATTCGGATACCTGTCCATCTCGATAATAACGTTAAAAGTGTTGTTGATGCTGAAGCGCAAAGTAACATCTATTGAAAAAGAAAAAAAAGACATTGTAAACAGTAGCAACTTGAAAAAGAAAATTCGTTCCGATACAAGTTCACGCGGGCCCCGAACAAAGCTTATATTTGGTAATTTGAGAGACCTAGGAACTTTACCTCACCGAAAACTCTTTCAACTGTCTGAACAATTTGAAAACGTTTACAATTTAAAGTTAGGCAAGTGGAAAGCCGTCGCTGTGAATGGGATACAATCATGCCGAAACATTTTAATAAAAAACGGCAAAGTTACTGCCAGCAGACCTAACTTTGAATCTTTCAAATATTACAGTCACGGTCGTAGTCTGTCGTTTCAACCATACAACGACATCTGGTTAACTCAGAGGAAGGCAACTAGCAAAATCATCGCAAAACTTATCACCACTGGTTCGGCTTTGGACATCGCACACAGACAGATGAAAGGTTTAGTGGATAACTGGTCTTTAAAAGTAGAATCAGATATGTTTGACGCTTTTCCAGATATTGTTGAGGCGGTAGGTGGTTTTATATATTCTCTGTGCTATGGTGAAAATGAAATTTTGAGTGCTAACAGTGAGTTCAAAAAAATTCTACTCGATCCGAACCCAGGCACAGATATGTTTGCTGTTGGTAACAATATTGATCTTCTACCTCACGTATTTCAATTGTTTTCTATGAAAAAACATCAGAAGCACATTGATAGAATGAATTACTTTTTGCAGCTTCACAATAAAATGAAAGAAAAGGTAAAGCATCGCTTAATTCAACACCGACTTCAATCGAACGAAAAATACTTCGATGACGTTAGAGCCAATGAATATAGTTTTGTTTCAGATAACATTGAATATACTTGCGTCATGGAAGCCATGTTTGGCGAGGTTTCAAAATTGTTGGCAAAAAGAGCGGGTGATACTCTATCAGACAACATTCCCGATCTTCACGAAGATCATTTCCTCAATCTACCTGCTGAGTTTTTGTCTGCTGGCACGGAGACATCGACGGCCGTTCTATTATGGTTGCTCAGGTATGTGGCCCTCACTCCAGGTGTTCAAGACAACGTGTACAACGAGCTAAAACAATACACGTCTCAAAAATCTAACGAAACAACATCGGTGGAGTATGGAGATCGTCCACACCTCCCGTACACAGAATCATGTTTGTTGGAATCTTTGCGATGTATGGCTGTCGTCCCTTTTGCTCTTCCGCATTTTACTACCAACGATTTTGAATCAGACGGCCTTTTGATAAAGAAAGACACCTTGATACTTCCAAATTTGTGGTCCGTTGGACGCGATCCTTCAGTCTGGTCAGAGCCGGAAAAATTTATTCCGGAAAGACATCTAAACACTGTTAGAGCAAAAAATGGCGGTGATGCTAACTGTTTTTTAGGAAACGATTGTCTCAACGAAAACAGTTTACATTCGGAAACAGCGCAGCATTTACGAACAAAAAGTACCTGTCCGTTCATAGTTGCATCTTCAAAATCAGAAAATTTTTATCCATTCGGTTTGGGAAAGAGACGATGTGTAGGCGAACCCCTAGGCAGAATGTTAAATTTTATTTTATTTTCCAACATAATGCTGAACTTTAAAATCAACGTGATTCCATACGAAAATATAAAATGGACAAATACCGCCCTAAAAAATAATGAATTTTCATCAAAACTGAATTCAAACTGGTGTCGAGTGCTTAAAAATGCCATCTCATTCCTCAAACAATTCCTATACAGAGCACTCATAAACGTTATTCCGTCTTTTTTTACAAAACATCATTTAAACGATGAGATACCAGATAGTCATGAGGAAGTAATTGAATGTTATGGAGACGTGATGAAACCAAAGACTTACCAAATTTTTCTGACCAAACGTTTTTAAAAATCTCAAAATCTATCTGTAGTGATTTTAAAACTTTAAATTTTGCTTCTTTGAGTTAATGTTTATTGTCTAATTGTTGAGCGTGTAATTTTTAGAATGATTTAGATTGAGAAACATAAGCCATGTATGATTTTATGTACAAATATGTATTTATAACGAAAAAAACAGTTTAAATCACCCACACAAGCGCACACACCACACACACACACATGTGGTTTTTTAAATACAAAAACATATTTGAATCGTTGCATGCCTTATATCGTTCAATACACAAGAAAAGAATGTTATATTTTAACAATGTGCGTTTATTATGATGAAAAAATCTTTCGTTTTAACAAAAAAATAGTTAGCCAGATATAAATTGCATATAAAACAAAATATGCACTATTATTTTGGATCAAACGTTAATCGCTTTAATTATAGACATGTTACATTTTTGAAAATCTAATTATTAAACGAGACGGAAATCTAACCGCTATATAAAGATGAGAGAGTCCGTTGACCTAGCAAGAGCATTCGTAAAAACATAACGTAACGTATAGGCTAGTATAGAACACGCATACATAGAAGATACATCCGCATACACACAAACAGATACACGCATATAAAAAAAACAAACATTCATATGTTCATATGACACAAAAATATAAACGCTTGTCTAAATATAGACACGTACGAAGAAAACACATACATATATAAATACATACCCATAAAATATACAAAACCACGCATACACATTCACACGAACATACATACACGCACGCGCCAACAAATCTATAATCTAATGTTCAAGGAAGTTGTCCATAACCAATTTGTTTGTAGTTGTTGAACGAATGGTAGAAATGTGAAATAAAATACAAAAACGCACACAAACACTCACGCCACACACAAACTTAGATTATATATATATATATATATAATATATATATATATATATAATACGTACGTATATATGCATAAAAGGCCTGCAAGAGTAAGTATCAACGCCAAAGCCTATACAACAATAACGATAATACAACAACACACGTTTAGACGACATTTTCCCCGAGATCGGGGGTTGCCGCTTGGCTACCTATGACGAAACCGAAATACCCCTCGACGCCATTCTGCCGGATACTGAGGGCCATTGTCACTTCTGTCATCATAAGCAATTTATTTGGCTAATTTTTACGCAGGACGCCCTTCCTTACGCAACCAGTTATAAGCGGTGGGCCTAGCCTTTGATGATCCAACATCACTCACAAGGCAGTGAGGGTCAGTTTAATGCCATAACCAGGACAGACAACAATAACAATAATGATAATAACAATAATAATAATTAATAATCGATAATAACCAACGTAGTTAATTTATAATATATTCAATTCTTATTTATAAACAATCACGATCTAGATAGAAATAAGCGTTACTACTTATCGAAGAGGATGCTATGAAAAAAAATGACATGACGTTCATTCACTCATTCATTTACTCATTCATTCATTCAGTTACTTGTACTTAATATTCATATATATACACATAAAGATACATGTATTGAATCATATAGAGACACACGGAAATTTAAAGTAAATAGCAGTATATGCTTACATCTAAACAATGGTATATTTATTTATTAATTACATAGATATGGAAATTACTGATTTATATATCTATGTTTTATTTACCCTTATAAAAATTCCAAAAAATATGTATATTAATTCGATGTTTTTAGTATTAGAATTAGGTCTATGTGAGAAATATTGGGACGTTGATAAAATGAGGGCTTGTCAGTGCTGTTGTAGTAGGTGGCATGAAAATAATGGAGAAACTGAAAACAGCATAAAGATAGAGTAGGAGTGAGAGAGAGAGAGAGAGACAGAAAAATATCGAAAAAGAGAGAGAGAAAGATTGAGAAGAGAAACAAGAAAAGTTAAGATAAAAAGAGAGGGAAAAAACCGTGAAATTAAACTATTAATCCAACCGCCAAACTTTGAAATTGTCTAAAAATATATGAAAATATTACGTAATGCAATGACGTCACACGTCCACACGGAAGCATTCTCACATATAGGCACACAGACACAAATACGCACGTACACCTATACAAATCCCTTACACACATACAAACACACTCACACATACAAACACACTCACACATACAAACACACAGACACATAACACACAGACCAACACAGATATACAGATTTAAGCACTCAGAAAGAAAATCAGTCTAAAAAAATCAAAACACTAAAAAACGAGAGTTGATAAAATAAACAAGATAAAAACAAAATGAAAACAACAACAAACTACAACAACAACAAAAACAACAACAAAAACAACAACAACTACAACAACAGCAACTACAACAACAACAACAATTACAACAACAGCAACTACTACAACAACAACGACAACTACAACAACAACATTAATAATAATACTAAATTACGATAATCATCAAATTTTATTATAACCAAAAATTATAAAATAATTATATTAGTTAATGTCTCACGCTTATTACCATTACATATTACATTCTTACGTTAGTAAAACCCTAGGACGGAATGGAACAAGCCTATCATAATATAATAATAATAACAATAACTATAAAATTATAATATTAATAAAATTATAAATTATAATAATAATAGTAACAACAAAAACAACAACAACAACAACAACAAAAACAACAATAGCAGTAACAGCAACAACAACAATAAGGGTAATAAACAACAAAGACTACAACAAAAAAAGCGTAAATGACATCACATAGAATAAAAACAAAAGTATAATGACGTCACGGCGTTTAGGGCTACGCCATAATGCAAACAAACAAACAAACAAACAAACAAACAAACAAACAAACAAACAAACAAACAAACAAACAAACTAACTAACTAACTAACAAACTAATAATAATAATAAATAACAACATGAAAACAAATTTTTTTAAATTAACTTTAAAAAATTGTTGAAAAACGAAGAAAAAAAATAAAAAAAAAACCAGAGACACCAGTATCAATGGCGTTTTCAACCAAAATAATGACGTCACAGAACCAAAAAAATAACCGTCATCAACTTCCTAGCCATTATCACAATTGCCATCATCATCATCTTTAGCTCACAATTATCATCATCATCATTATCATCATCATCTTTAGTAGTAAGTAACACTATCAGCATCATCATCATCTTCAGTAGCAGTACTACCATCATTATCATCATTATTTTATGAGAGGTAATCAGGATATTCATTCTAAATAAATATATCATCATCATCTTCTTCGTCATCATCACCATCTTCTTCGTCATCATCATCATCATAATCAACATTACCATCATCACGTTATAAAAAAGTCAATAACGAAAATGGCAATGACGTCACGAAAAAATGTAAACAAAGATTAATTAATTAATGTTTGTATAACAAACAATGATAAAAAAACATAAATAATAAACTGAGATATATCCTTTGTAGCGTGAATTATTTACATAAAAATACAAATAAAAATAATTGATACGTATTTATATTTAAAATTATAAATTAAATCATAAATTAAGATAAAAAAAACTGTAAATGATGAAAGGTAATTATGAAAAAATAAATTATGTGATCGAAATTTCAAAATAAAATTATAGAAAAAGAAAATAAACCAAAAGTCAATTGCGACGACAATGATCAACATTTTTTAAACTCTTTAATCTGATTCGATGGTACCAAAAAAATTAAAATAAAAAAAAGAGAGAGCATAGAAAATTAAGTAAACGAACGATAATTGAAACAAAGCCACACAGAAAAAATGATAAAAAATCTATGGTTGGTTTCCTGTATGACTATAAATTCTATTAACATATAATATCATTATCATCAACAACACCATCATCGTCATCATTATCATAAACACCATAATCACTAACTTTATCAACATGGACTTCATCATCGTCATCACCACTAACTTCATCATCATTATCCTCAACAATTATTATCACTAAAACGTTCTTCAAATACAATTATTATCACCGTGATTATCATCACTGATACTACCGATAATATCAATCCATTCTTCATATACCATGGGATACTATCATATCATCATCAACATCAACATCATCATCGTTATAATTGTTTAAGATGTTATTATTATAATCATAAATAAAAAAAACGATACGAATAAAAACACACACGCACACAAATGCACGCACAGACAAAAATGCACGCACACACACACACACAAACAAACATTTTGTTTTACAATTAGGATTCGTGAAATTTGATCAATTGGAACTTCCTCACGTACCATCCCAAAAAATGAGAAAAGTGCCATATAAAAAATACACATACATCCTCGTCATTAACTGGCGCCGAAAAATTCTGTAAAAAATCAATAAATTTTTGAAATTCTTGACAATATATAATAAACTCTACCGATTTATTGTGTTCATCAACTTATATTTCTGTATTTAACTTTCAATTGAATTCAAAAAATCTTTTATTCAGTAAAACACATTACAATGAAGACCCGAAGTTTTCACTTGTTGGGCCACCCTATCAAGCTATTAACTTACATGTATACATATAGTGAGCCGACTTGGATCCGCAAGTGCGTGAGTTCAGCAGGTTTCAGACCTGCTCCAGCAAGTACCATTGGCCAGTACAAGTACATAAAGTACACCACACACACACACAAACACACACACATTTATCTAAGTATATATATATATATATATATATATATATATATATTGTTTATATACACATATACATATATATTAACATAAACACATATATATATATACATAATACAAATATATATGTATACATAAATATGCATACAATGTATACATATACACATTTATGTGTACGATGAAATGGCAATGGCAAATGTAAACATTAATATCAATCACACCAACACGTTCTTGCAAAAATGCCTGCATAAAAAGATACACACACACATACACAGGTTCAAACACACACGCCTGCACGCACACTCACATGCAAAACATGTTCACTTGAATGAATACTCACACACACAAACACACATAGGCATAAAAACATGCACCCAGACACAAATAAAGATACGCATACACATACACAAACATACACACGCACGCGCGCGCGAACACAGAAAGAGTCATAAAGTTATTGATGTAGAGATGTACAGTGGATTGGATTTGTGAGCAAGAGTTCGCTGTCATTTGAAATTATCGGTACCTTGGGTGGGGAAAGAAATAATTAATAATTAGCTTAATTAATTAATTATTAATTAATAATTAATTAATTAAATGATTAAGTAATAAAATTACTAATTTGCTAGATTATTGAAAAAGTATAAAGTTAAATTATATATATTCCTTAATTAATTTAATCATATACATTTAATTTACTTCTAGGCATTAATACGAATTACAACAAAAATATTAATCACACACACACGCGCGCGCGCGCACAGTGAATGAATGAATGAGTGAAAGATTAAACGAAAAATGAGTAAATAAGCGTAAAATAACAATAAAAACTTGTACTAATTAACAACACTTTGTATTGTGATGCAATGGAACACCATATATTTCCATGGTATTTCCATGGAAAATGTTAACTAGATACGTTTGTTTTTCATCTACGCTTTGATGAATAAATGGATGAATGGAAGGATGAATCGTGTCTGAATGCATGATTGAATAAATAAACGAAGAATGAATGAATGGATGGAATAATGAACTAATGGGTGAATTATTGAATGAAGGAATAAATAAATAAATGAATAAATAAATGAACGAATGGATTGGATGAGTGAATCAATGAATGAATATATGAATTCATTCATAGATGAATGAATTCATTCATAGATGAATGAATGAATGAACGAACGAATGCAGCAAGCTTATTTTTTCAACAGTAACTTTAATCATTTTCTGTTTTGTTTGAGATTGTTTATGAACACCAGAGGAGAACTAACTCATGAATCATGGATACATCGTTTTCATCATTAAATGACTGTGCGCGTGTGTGTATGTACGTGTGTGTGTGTGTGTGTGTGTGTGTGTGTGCGCGTGCGAGTGATTAACGCAATAGTAACGCAGCGATGCGAATAATGTTACTTATTTAGGTTTCCTAGTTATATTTTCCGTTCTCCTATATTTGCATCTAATAGTTAAAAGTGGAATAAAATGAGAAGAGATGAACGAATGAATAAATTAATGAATAATTGAACAGATGAACGAACGAATGAACGAATGATTGAATGAATGATTGAAAGAATGAATAGATGAAAGGAATGGACAATTGGATGATTAGATGAAAGAATGACGTAGAGAAAAAAAGTAAAACGACGAAGTTGAATGAATAATGAACGAATTGGTTCGCAATGAGTTAATTGAATAAATTATGAAAATACTAGGATTGAATGAAGAAAATGAGTAAATGAGTGAGTGAATTGCCAAATGAAGGAATGACCATATGAAAGAATGACCAAATGAAGGAATGACCAAATGAAGGAATGAATGAATAAAAGGAGGTGTAAATATTGTTACCTGGTTATACAGGTGATAATTAACAAGATGGCTGACGCTGTTGAACAATTGATCTTTGGTTCTCACCTATTTAATGACGTCAAAATATGATTATGATGATGATGATGGTGGTGACGGTGATCATCATTATCATCATTGCTATAATAATAACATATACGATAGTAAAATTAATTAAAAATGATGCCCTCTATATAATCAAAAAAGTTTCTCCGATCATCAAATGACCTTCCCCTCTGGGTCGACCAATAACAGGTGCTTAACGGTGGGACCCTGCCTGCCGCTCAGGACGTATTGTCCGGGGGAATTGGGACTTTCCCGAACTAAAAAATCCCCCGTTCTGATCAGTAGTTCTTCAGTCTGTTTTGATGGTGGCGGTTGGTGATTACATGATAATATAGCGAGTGATGAAATGCTACTACTGCTACTACTACTAATACTACTGCTACTACTACTGCTACTACTACTGCTACTACTACTGCTACTAATAATAATGATAATAGCGAACTTTGAGTCTGTTAATCTTGCCATGAAACCAAATCTCGTGGTATGGAGACAAACTGGATCGCGAAGCTGAATGGCACATTTCATTCTCGTTTGCAGCTAATGGCGATGATGACGACGACGTCAACGATGATGACGACGACGACGATAATGATAATAATGATGATGATGATGAGAAGGAAGAGGAAGTCAAAGAGAATGATGAAAAAAGCCACGAAAGACGATCATATAATAGATGGTGACGCATTCAGCTGATGATGATTATGATGATGACGCTAATGATGATGATGCCAATGGTAATAATAATAATAATGGGATGATGATGATGAGATAAGTGGAAACTTACATCTTCCCTGAAGGGATGATGATGACGAAGATGACGGCGAACAAAACTGCAGCCTGCCACTGCTGTTGTCTGGCAATGTTCATCGGAGAAGAAAATCATTGTCATCATCATCGTGTCACATGCACAGATACACACACACATATACATACACTCCACACACACACACAAACACACACACACACACACAGACAAAATAATAAAACCAAAACAACACCAAGCAATACAAACTTTGAGTTAAGTTTTGCATAATCTGTTTGAGATGACATTTAATGAGAATAATAAATAAGAATAATATAAATTAAAATAATATTTTAATTAAATTTAGAAACAAAACAATTATTTGAATAGATAGGTTAAGCAATCAATCAATTCTAATTGTAATAGATGTTAACTTACACACAAACACACACACATACATATATATATATATATATATATATATATATATATATATGTGTGTGTGTGTGTGTGTGTGTGAAAACCAAAGATGATAACAACACATTGATAACAATAAAAAATGATGAAATAAAGATGACAGACAATGAATGATTAATTGCAAAACATAACAACGACATAGCAATTGATTTGTCCACACAGATTATGATAATAGAGACAACAATGCACTCAGTGATAAAGATAACGACCAAATGAATGATATTAAAGACAATGATGAACTTTTGCTGATAAAGAAGTGATTATGTGAGTGCTTATAACATGGTGTTCATTGTTCTCTCTTTTTCTATCTTATTTAAAGATAGAAAAAGAGAGAACAATGAACTGTATTTATGTATAAAAATGATATCATTTTTTTCAAAATGTATCAAAAACAACATAGTTGAAATGAGGAACAAACTAATTAGAAGCTAAGGTGATAAAAAAATCTACTACATAAAGGAAGCACGAAAAATGAGAAAAAAAAATCAAACTTGTACATTTCTCTGCGTGAATTCCTGGCTGCCACCACCACCACCACCACCACCAATGCCGCCAGTACCACTACCGCCGCGACCACACACGCCACAAACACCAGCGGCTTCATCATCATCTTCCTGGCTACGATGATGGCAGTAGTGATTCAAGCCGACGTCACCACTGACCCCTCGTCCACTATCAACAAACCCACAATCACCATCAATCTCATCAGTATCATTACAATGATGATGACCACCGCCCTCACCGCTGCGATGACGATGATGACGCTGATTGGTTGGTTGATGATGATGATGTTGTTGGTGCGACGAACTGAGCTTAGACGAATCGTTATAATATTCAGCCTCCGATGTGTGAGAGAATGACGATGGGGGCGGTGGGGGGAGGGGCGTACAGGTATGGTGGTGGTTGTTGGGGGTCGTACTGCTTGACGACGTGTTAGGAGAGGATTTGGCAGAATATATCGGAACGCTAAACACGTTAAAAAAAAGGAAAATGCATCCATTGGATTAACATTGCCATTTCACTTTCACATATATGATTGTTAAAAAAAATCTTTAAAAATCATTTTGGAGAACCATTTTTTGAAAAATAAGAAGAAAAAAACGAGAAAAAAACTTACCAATCAGGAACAGTTATTGGAACGGCTCTCTGCGATAGGTAGTTTTTGAATCGAATCTCAAAAGCTTGACCAATAGTAGTGATGACATCTCTGGATAGACCCGCCCTACACTCCATCACATGACATGCCCTGCCATCATCACCCTTGGCTACGTAGGCTACGAAGTCCTGGGTGTCCTAGAAGGTGACAGCCATGAAGATGAAGATAAAAATGATAAAGAGAATTATAACGATGATGATGGAGATGAAGATGTCAATGAAGAAGATGATGATGAAGCGAGTGATAATAATGGTGAGGATGATTACAACTTACTGGCTCTCCGCCGGATGCAAATGATATTGAAGGCATTGGATGTTGATAGATAATCTGAAACATGACATCATCGTAAGTTTAAAATGATGAACACCACCATCAGTTACAGTCATGATTAAAATTATGAAAATCATAAAAATCAAACAAACCAACCAACAAACTAGCCAACAAACAAACCAACCAACAAACAAACAAACGAGCAAACAAACAAACATCAATGACATGAGCAAATATGAGAAGAAATTAATCAGATGATGACGATTAAACGAGATAACAGCATTCAACAAAAGTTACTTAAAAAAAAAACAACATTACAATTAAATCATCATCATTAAATCCTTATCATCACCATCATCATCATCAGTACCATCATCATCTATCTTCATAACCATCATCATCATTATTACAACAGCAACAAAGAAACAACAACGACAACAGCAACAGCAACAAAACTAACAACAACAACACTAACATTGTTAGTAGCAACACATGTGATTGTCAAACTTTCGGTTGTTATAGTTAGGTTAACATCTGTACACGAATACATTGTGTTGGCTTCTGTACCTAAGAACTTGTCCAACTTTTGACTCTGTTTATAATTTTATAATTTTATTTCTCTAAATAATAAAATCACTTAAATCAATTAAATCTTTAAAAGTTATGTCATTTAAATAGTTTAATTAATTTTAAATAGAATTATTTACGTTGTACAATTATTATTTTGAGTAAAATTGTTCAAGTCATTTAATTCTGAATATTGAATTAATTATTTTAATAATTAATATAGTTATAAATAATAATAATAATTATCAAATACCCTTTTATATTTTTGTTGGTTCTTCAAGCCAACGGCATAGCATAGCCTGTTGATGGATTCACTGAATGGTGGATTGGTTGTAAAAGAAGAAAAAAAAAATTATTTTTGATGATTTATGATAAAATAAATAAATTAATTAATTAATTTTAATTGTAACTAACAACCAGTCAATAAATTATAAATACAAATCAATGGGCAACAAGTTAATCAATCAAAAATTTATCAAACAGCAATCATTCATCACTGAAAGACAAATAATTCAATTGATTAACCAACCAGCCAGCCAGCCAACCAACCAACCAACCAACCAGCCAGCCAGCTAGCCAGCCAACCAGTCAATCAGGCAATCAATCAACCAACCAGTTAACCAACCAGTTAACCAACCAACCAGTCAACCAACCAGTCAACCAACAAGCCAGACAACCAGCCAATCAAATGATTAACACAATTATAAACAACAAACTTAGTAATAGCTGTTCTGGTATCAAAATCCAAGGCTCTCATGGACTCAAGCACTGCCAAACTGCCAGTATACTTGAGTGGTGTAACATTAAAACTTATAAAATATTTAACATTAAGACGTGAAATGTGAATAACTTTTTTAAAACTTTTTTGATAATCAGTAACAGTAATGGTATTTTTTTCATTCCATTCCTCAGAGGTAGTAATAACAACGGCAACAACAACAACTACTACAACAACTACACACATGTGTAAATATGTATGAATCAATACACATTATACTCAACTCTGTGAGTTTGAACCAAGCCACTAAAACACAGTAAACAGAAACTTTGACCACTGAACCATCATCTTAACTCAATTAAGTATATGCATAACTTCAGTAATTACGTTCAAACCTACCCGAACGGTGTAAACAACTCCGATATCCGGATGCAAATGTTCATTTGGATGCAGCCAGCCATGCTTCGGTCTGCTCATGAATGTGCCATCATTTGACCAATCATGCTTCTTGTTCTTGTTCTGAAACATCTCCTAAGTATATAAATTAGTTATAAGGTTGTTATATTATACCATAATTTTAAAGATACTGAACTTGAGTGTTTAGTATAATGTAACATAAATATAATAGTTTGCATTGAAGTGATCAATGAAATAGTTGTAACTTTCTCTTTATACTCAAGTCTTTGCACTGAGTATGTTATAATAGCAGTAGAGTAATAAAAATTCCTTACAATTAATTACTGATTACTCATCCTTTATTAGAGTATTGTCATCAAACAAAACATCAATTAGATTATTAAATTATTAATGCTAGGTAGTTAATTGGTTATTATTAATTAGTTTATTTACATATTGTATTACATAAGGGTAAATCATGTTATCAGTAGTAAATGGTATTACTATATAATGTATATATATTATTATATTATAAATAATAATATAAAAACTATTAGTAATAAATAGTTTTTATTATAATATAATATTATTATTTTATTACTCTATTTATCTTTCTATTCAATATTATTTATTATGTTGAGCTATGTTTAAAAATTTGTGTACATAACAATAATAATAACATAAAAGACACATAATAATAATAGATACATAATAATAATATAGAGATAGATAGTAGATACATAAATATTACATACATTATGATTATTATATTATATTATATAGTATAGATTATTATTTATATATGTTTGTTGTGTTATTTATTTTATTTTTTCTCTTGTGATATATATATATATATATAAAGAAGAGAAAACAAAATAGAAAATTAAAAAAAAAATTACAAATAAAATAAATGTCAAATAAAAATTTAAATTTTGATTAATAATTAATTAAAATTTAAATTATTAAATATTTAAATTCGTAAAATAAAAACTTTTAAAATCTAAATTAAAATTGAAAGAAAAGTTAAAAACCTGTTTCGCGATTAACGAGACTACTTTCTCATCATTTAATTAATTTAAAATAAACAGAGATTAATAAATTTTTAGTTTTAAAAAGTTGTAAAATTTTGTATTCCTAGTGACCGCAAATTTAAACAATTCCTAAGAATTTCTTTAAAAAAAAACAAAACAATACAATAAGTAATCGTCCCAGGTTATTTCGGTCTTTTTTTTCTTTAAATCAGATACTATATAGTTATATATACAAACCATTATATATATATATATATATATATATATATATCAATGATAACATAACATAACACAACACAACATAACATAACAAGGATTATAGTGGTTGAAAAGATACCTCTGTGTGAGAACCACTGGATCGATTTAGACTAATAATATGGATTTAAAGATTTAAAATCCCAATCTTTCAAGTCTTACTTTGAACTCCTGTGTTGTAGGAGCTGTTAACGTTTTTTCATCCAGCTTATTCCAATGTTCAGTAACTCTCGAAATGAAAAATCTTCCTTTTATTGTTCCCGCCCTTTCTTTGAAAAGCTTGTACTGGTGCCCTCTTGTGTTTCTATTTTCTGTGAATTGGAGGAATAGGAATGAATCTATGTCTTACCCGTTATGATTTTGTACGCTTGAACAAGATCTCATCTTGTCCTACGTTTGTCTAAAGTCGTCAGTCCACATCTCATTTGACAAATATAGCTCTATTGAATGTATTGATGTAGGCATTCAAAACTTATTTTTTGCATAAACACAACCTGAGGTAACCAGTGTAAAAGGATGAAATAAGGGTCTTGATATCTGACTATGACTAAGCGTTTGGGTCAGAATTTTTTATTTTATTTGTTGTGGACCTCTTTATCATCAGTTTCTTTGCACCATCCATGATAAGGAATAAATATGAATGAAAATTAGGTACAATCCTTAATGTCGATGATGCTCTCTCTGAAATGCTCTTGGAATAAAATGGAGATTCAATATGAAAATGGATAGAGTAATAGCAATTTATAATACCATACTTTCAAATAAATAAATTATTATCATGAAGAAAAAGTTCTTCGAAGCATCACGCCTATATCAAACATTTTGATCTAAACAGGAACATGAATGGATGAAAAGAGGAAATTATTAACTGAAGTCAATGCTGTGTTGCAATTAATCCCAATTAGGTTATTAAAGTAGGCCAGTAGTACAAACACATACACACATACATACACAAAAAACCGTTTAGGATGTTAAACTTTACACAGCCATTTGTAGTCAAGGTGTTTCAGGGACTTTTCTCCGTAAAAATTGTTTGTGCAAATTTAATGAATATAGTCCACTCAACACACAACAAAAACCGAAGTTTGAAAAATTTCTACTAACAAAATCTTGTATTTCAATAAAAATTATTTAATAAAGTTGTAGTATTAGCGGAAACGGTCGTACACATTGTAACTTCTCTCTCTCTCTCTCTCTCTCTCTCTTTCTCTCTCTCTATATATATATATATATATATACTCTTTCTCTCTCTCTCTCTCTCTCTCTCTCTCTCTCTCTATATATATATATATATATATATATATATATATATATATATATATATGACGTTATTATGTTGAGTGCGAACAGAAGCTAACGAAATTTCGCTATCCTAATAATATATTTAATTACCTACAAAATTTATTATAAACCTAACAAGTGTTTTGTTGTTTTTTTTGTTATCTCAGATTTTGATCAAGCTATTTTTTAAGAAACACAATCGAACATATTTTTATTTTTAAAATATGCACAGAGGGAAATTTTTCTTTTTCTGTTCTATGATATTTTCAATCAAAGTTGTTCAAACTGAACTCGGATGCTACGGAAATGGTGAAAGATTTAAACCGGCAAATTTGTCAATTGTTTGATCAATCATTCCATATCAACGCACTTTTGAATCATCCTATTAATCAATCCATCCATCAATTTAGCACTTTATTATTCAACTTTTGGAGCAATCATTCAATCTATCTGTCAATCAACCAATCAATCAGTTGATAACTTTTATTTCGCACAAACTCATGCTGAGTATCAATAGCAGCTTATTATTTAAAATCTCTTTTATAAGTGGTCAATTTTAGTGACCGATAAAATTATAAAATTATTAATTAACCTTTAATTTTTCAATTGACCAGATGACGTATGTAGAATCTGCAGCTGCAGAAGCAGAGGTGAAGTCAACTGCTTAAGAGCGAATTTGGATAGCATACCAGAGAATTTGCCATGGTGGCTTAGAGTACTTAATCTGAAGAGAAACAATATAACCATTGTTCACGAAAACGCATTGAGAAATTGTTCACTTTTAAAATGGATTACCCTGACCAACAACAGAATTCAACACCTCCCTGATACGCTCTTTCTTAACTTGTCTGTTTCTTCCATCGCAATCAATTCTAACCGAATAACTCTATCGGATCAATCTAAAATTTTTTCACCTCTCAGTCAAACTCTAAGAACGCTTTTAATTTCTGGCAACAGTAATATTTCTCACAAAGTATTTCAAAATTTGAAAGCATTGCAATTTCTCCAGATTGACGGAAATTTATCTGGCGGATTCGGCCAGTCGTTTTCAACTTTGACTAATTTGTCGATTTTAAAAATAACAAAGCCACTGGGAATAGTAACGGAGAAGACTTTCAAAATATTTGAACGGCTGCCCAAGTTACATAACCTGAGTGTGCGAGCTGCTGATATAAAGCACATAGAACCAAAAGCGTTTGTTCATTTTAAAAATTTACGGTATTTAGACTTAAGTAGGAATAAAAACTTTTCGTTGATTAAAACATTTGAGCCGTTGAACCACGTTTCAAATTCTTTGAAGTCTCTCCGCCTGTCTTATTTGATCGATGACACGTTCACTCCAGTAACATTGAATAAAACATTTTTTGATGCTATGAAAAACAAGAAGCTGCAAAAATTGTGGTTAAATAAAAATGAAATATTGTACGTAGAAAATGGATTTTTGGAAACTTTCAAAAGTTTAACATATTTGGATGTGACGTACAACCGTTTAGAAAAAGTAAAAGGCTTAACAGGAATGATTAACTTAGTTAATTTAACTTGGCTGAATGCAAGCTATCAATCGAAACGTTATTACGAAAGAGAAGCTTCTGAAGAGGAAAATTTCAACTCAATGAATCATAATTTTGAACATTGTAGAGCCAAAAAACAAATAGAATGTGATTTCAATGTTTTCATCGGAAATAAACCAATTGGAGACCTTGTCTGGTGTCTTATTGTACCCAGAAGTTTAAAAGTATTGACGTTAACAAATTCAGTGAACGAAAATTTTGACTGGCTCCCTGCTATGCTGATTCTCGGAAAATTCACTTTAGAAGAATTTATTTATCAAGATAATGGTATGAGGTCTGTTAAAGGGCCGCTGATCATCAACTCACCAAGAAATGCTCGGCCGTTCAAGTTGGATCTCAGTCGCAATTTCATAAACTGCCTGGCACCGGATTTCTTGAATTTTAGTATTTCGCAACGAGGGTTTGTTCTCGGTTAGTAAAAAGTTCATGCGCCCTTGTGTTTGAATGCCTTCGAGAAGTAATGAGAAATATTTATTTAATCTGAAAATTCTATCAAATATAATTTAGTGTTTTAAACTTTTGAACTGGGGGAAAATTATTTTGAAGGTGAGTTGAACGTGGAGAAGAACGAATTGGGTGAGCAGATGCAGAGTGACATGTTTGGCTTAACATTTCAATGCTACTCCAACCTAACTATCCTAAATCTTTCTAACAATAAAATTAAAAAATTGCACAAACTGTCATTTAAGAACCTTCGGCAACTGAGAATTTTAAATCTGGCAGAAAACTCTCTTCAAACAATAGAATTTGAAATTTCTCACATGAAATATTTGCAGTAAGCTTGTCTAGACTAATTTGTTTAATAATGTTGAATGTTATTTTAATTTTTATCAATAATAATTATTTGCTTATTTAGATATTTGGATCTATCGAGAAATTTGTTGGTCTCACTGGCCGATGACACTTGCTATGTACTGTCCGGTTTAAGTTCAAACTTTTCCACGTCTTTGTATGGAAATCCTCTTCAATGCAACTGCGAAACTATAAAGTTCATGAAGTGGGTGCAATCGAAGAAGGTGACAATCAACAACAAGAACCACACCAATTGTCAGAACAGAAGTTCAAAATTTATTACACTTTCAAATCTTGACTCCGCTGTCAATGAATTGAGGTTTTTTTGTAACCTCAAACTACCGTTGATAATCGGAGGGTCCTTAGTGGGCCTGTTGATAATCTGCTCGTTTTTGGGGTTTGTGTTGTATAAATATCGCTGGGACATCCGATATTTTTTAATGAGCATGCAGAAATCTAAAAGGCGGTGCACATCTTTCCTCGAGTCTCGCAACAGATATTACAAGTACGACGCGTTCGTCTGCTACGAGAAGAGCGACAGAAGATGGGTAGTGACCGAGCTGCTCTACAATCTCGAAACACCCGACCTAGCGCTCGGAAGACAATCGATTTTAAACGGAGGCGCTGTAAACGATTGCTACGTCGATGACGACAAAAACCAATTTGAAAATGCCGACGATCGATTCTTGCTGTGCATACATGATCGAGATTTCGAGCTAGGGCTGGGCATTAAGCACAACATTTCCATGGCCATCCACGCAAGCAGGTAGGTCTTTCAGGAACTATTCTCCCTCATCTCATTGGTATTTAGTTGGTCGAAAATTTCAACCAATTGTTTTAATTATTTCTATTGTTCTAATTAATTAATTATTAATTAATTAACCCGTTCATTTACCTAACTGTCACTCATTCCCTTTTTTCCACTTGTTCATTAGATTGTAAGTGATGTTACGTGTAAGATAAAAACACACTAAGATATCTGATATAAATATTAAATATAAACGTATATCTAGATGATCTACTTTTAATTGTCTATCTAAATAGATACTATTCGATTGAACTATTAACATAACAAGCTATTAATATAATTGAATGTTGTCGTCATTGTTGTAGTTATTGCATCTATTTTTATTCATTCGTTCATTAGTTCATCTACCGAACAGTCACTCACTCACTACTTTTCACTTGCTCTTTCTCTCTTTCCCTCTCTCTTTTTTCACTCACTTTCTCTCGTTCCCTTCCTNTTCGTCATTGGCTAACCTAATTCAAGACTCATTAAAATCCGGGTTCATATGAAAGCTTGAAACAAAAAAATAGGAGTAATGTTTATATATCTAAAAATATGTTTGTATGTATGTATGTATGTATGTATGTATGTATGTATGTATGTATGTATGTATGTATGTATGTATGTATGTATGTATGCATGTATGTATGTATGTATGTATGTATGTATGTATGTATGTATGTATGTATGTATGTATGTATGTATGTATGTATGTATGTATGTATGTATGTATGCATGTATGCATATAATTACATACAAAAAATCACGCACACACACGCGCACGCACGCACACACATGTATACGCACACGATGTATATTTTAAATATCGGATGGGTGTATTGGAAAATTAAACAGAACATTTGCATTAATCAAATCAACTTTTATTCAATCAAAATGATTTGGAAACCAAAAGTAAAATGACAGTTTTTATTTTTATTAAAAAAAGAAAAGAGACGAACACTCAAACAAACAAACATTCATACATCACCATCACAAACAACGTCACTAACATCACCACCATAGACACACAACCACCACAAACAACACCACATCACCTACCATAACCGCCATCACCACAAACAACACCACACCACCCCCACTATCTCCACTCACAAACAACATCGCAACTCCGACAACAACAGAAAAACCTTGCTAGTCCTAACGAACAACTTCCTAAAGAGCAAATGGTGTAGACACGAACTTGAGATGGCCAGCTTGGAGAGTCTGGATCGGGAGTGCAACTTGGTGGTTCCAGTTTTTCTGGAACCCGTTGAAGAAACTTGGGATAGCCTTTCCTGGCTGACGAAACGCTACACCTACTTAGAGTGGTTTGCCTATGATAAGTTGGTGGTGGTTGGTGGTGGTTGTTGTAGTGCAGTTTTGATGATGATGTTGATGGTGGTGATGATGATGGTTGTAATGCAGGAATGATGATGATGTTGGTGTTGGACGTTGGTGGTGATGATGGTGACTGTTGCGATGATCATGGTTAGTTGGTATTGGTGATGATGATGATGGTGGTTGTGGCGGCTGATGAGGATGATGACGATGATGTTGATGATTTGCTGGAGAACTCATTTCAGATTAATGTGGTTAATAAGTTGTTAATCTAACAACACAACATTCCAGCAAGGCTGAATTTTGGAAAAAATTGAAGATGGTACTTGGAAATGAAAAAAATGAGAAAATTGTCTGTGAGTGTGGCCGGGAGTTTTATAACTGAAAACTGTAGCTGCTGCTGCTGTCGCTGCTGCTGTCACTGCTTTTACTTTAACTACATTTGCACACACGCCCACATAAACGCCACACACACACATGCATTTGATAAACAGTAACGTACGCTTATTAAATATTGGTGATGATCGTGATGATGATGATTCATGGGAGGCTTATGATGATGGTGATGATGATGATGATGATGATGATGGTTCACGTGATGACGATGTTGACAGTTTTTTTTTTGTAAGATGCAATTAAATTTCCTAATAACTTTTTTTTATTCTTTACTTTAGTTACTCAATGAGCCTGGTACAATTATTGAACCGTTTTTATTTAATTTCCATTTTTATTTATGTTTTCTTTTTATGTTTGAAACTTCATTTGTTATTTTTTTAAATTTTGGCTCTACATTGTTTTAAATTTATTATGTACCATTAGATAAAACATTTCAGGGCTCTCAACTGATAAATAAATTAATAAAAATAACTGTTTATAACCCAATAGGACAAGGCAAAAATTAATTAATTGTCCTACTCGCACGAAATAGATGAAATTTTTAATTATTTAAACACGTTCTCAATCGCAAGCCCACACACAAGCACACACACAAACAAACACACACGCACGCACACACACACGAATATAAACAGATATTTCAACAAATTAACATAATACTCATGAATACTTACGTGCAAACACACGCAAGACATACTCACTTACACATACAATACATGTGAACATGCATACTATATACAGTATGATGCAGTCACGCACACAAACACACATACACACACACATGCACGCAAGCACACATACCTGCATTGCACACACATTTACCCACACTTCAGAATGATACTTCTATGATAAGGAAAATGATGATGACGACAACGATGATGAAGAGATGTGACGATTGGGATGGCCAGTCTCGATAAACTTTTTAAATTTTATTCTGGGGTCAGTGGTCAACAATGTAACATAACGCTTTCTGGTTTTTCGGTTACTACATAAATCTCGTTTCGTATCGTCTCGATTGATGCCAACAATAATATTAATAATTAATGATATGAATGGCGATAACGGCAACAACAACAATGATAACACTAGCAAAGTAGTGAAGACGACGACGATGATGACGACATCACCTACCTCTTCACTCTAATCAATTCAAATAAACTTACCTCGGCTTCGGCTTACACAATATTGCTTATACACACGCACGTATATTATTCATGTGTGTGAATACACTGACATACAGACAGACACAAACACACACAGAGACACACACACGCACACAAACACACACAGTTTTGAAGTTTCGAATTATTGATAGTAGAATTAACTTTACTTAACTAGTATTCAAATGTGCGTGTTTGCATGCTATAAACATAAGTACGTGGTAACTATTTATGTGCGTGAGCCAACACTAGCTAGAGAAAGAGCATTTTCTACTTTTGTGTAATACCTCAGTTTGTCAGTTTTGGCTATCAAATATAAAAACAAACGTTTATATTTTGGTATATAAGCAATAAAATATCAACTTCACTTAAGTAACGGATTTTAAATCGATTTTGTACACACGGATTCTAATACCCCAGCTTATACACACGGATTCTTATACCGGACTTTAGAAACACGGATTTTATTTCCCTGCTTGAATATTGATTTAAGAGTTTATACATGAGCCTCAGTACCGATTTAAATACCGGCTTTTAAATACAAAACTCCATACCGATCGTGTATTCAAACTTTAATACCGGTGTCAGCAGTACCGATTCGAATATAGGTTTCTTATACGAGTATTTTTTAAACAATTTATAACCAGATTTGAATACAGTCTGTTGAAATACTGATACTTTAAAAGTTTGTAGACATTTTTTTTATCTGTATTTATTCATTGGTTAATATGGCGTAAAGTATGGCGCATTTAATTATCCAATTATGAACTAATTAAAAAAATTGTGATTAAATAACTGAAATAATTAAATGTTGATTAATTAAGACCTACTACTCACTAATTAAAAATATTATTATTATATTTAATTAATTGTTGAATAATTAGTTTATGTCATAATTTAAATATATGTTGTTTGAGTTTATTCGTTTGATTTTAAGTGTTTTTGTAGTTACTTTAGCTAACGTTGTTGATGTTGTCGTTTAAAAAAATGTTCTAGGGTGTTAAAATGCTGTTGCTACGGGTATTATTACTGTTGTTGATGTTGGTGTTGTTGATAATGTTGTTGTTGATGATGTTATTGATGCTGTTTTTGATGCTGTTGATCAGTTGTTGATCAGTTGTTGTTGTTGTTGTTGTTGATTAGTTTTTGTTGTTGATCAGTTGTTGTTGTTGTTATTGTTGACGCTGCAAATTATCCCCACGCAGAAATTGCTAAGGACGATTACGATGAAATTCGATCTCTGTATTAATTAGATTAATTGGAGGAAGAATATAAATACACACACACACACACACACACACACACACACACACACACACACACACACACACACACACACACACACACACACACACACACGCAATAAAACACACACATATGTATCTATGTATAATAATATAAACATATACAAAGTTGTTTAAACATTTACTAGCAGGTGTTTAAAAGTCTAAGTATGGATTTATGAAGATTTATTTTCAATAATTGTAAAAAATTTTTGATTTATAAATTTTTATCAAGCAATTAGAAAAACAATGCCTGTCGGTAAAACATTTACAAGGAGTTTGAGCTACAATGAGTCCAAGGTGTGTACTAGATGTTTATTTGTTTGTATGTTTAATAGTATGCCTGTTTGTTTGTTTGTTTGTCGTAATGCTGTGCTATTTAATGAAATAGTAAATGTAGAAATTAAAACAAAATTTTGTGACTAAAACTTCTCCAGAAATCACGAAACCAGTCAGCATCAAAGTCAAAGAAATCGGATGGAACATTCTCGAAATCGTCCAACGGCCTAACGAACACATGCACTGACATCATCATACCGTATTCAAGACAGAATCTTTCCTATCAAAATCTTGAAAAGAACTTTAAAAATTATTCAAACGACGATGTGAATATTACAAAAAATGGCTACAACAGCTGCCAGAATATCAACAACAGCACCACAAACAACATCAGAAACAATAACAACACCAACAACGTCAACAACAACATCAACACTAGGCAGAGGTATAGTTTTTCGTCCGAAAGAACTGGCCACAAAGCCAACAAAACCACCTACAAAACTCTACCCAACGAATATGACGTGCCGTGCGTGGGCATGAGAGATCGATCTCTCTCCGATCGAGATATTCGCGCCAAACAACAGCCCAGACATCGTCTGCGAGATAACGAATACAATTACCCAAACTATGAAACCATTGTTCCTGCTTTGAAAAGTTCAAAAAATGATGTTGGTGTTTGCCAGGACGGGAGGGGTAACAGTGGTAGGATGTTGCTCATTACAAAGTCACCATCAGATGCCAATTCAATAATTTATGATAAGGTTAGGTTTGTTGAATGAACGAACGAATGAATGGATGAATGAATGAATGAATGGATAAATGGATAAATGAATGAATGAACGAACGAACGGAAAAATGATTGTATAGACTAAACATTCTGTAATATTTTTTGATAGCCCATAACTACAACAAATAATTATAAAAACAAAACAATCATAGGAACAGGGCTGGATATATGAAGATATCTTTCTGCGCAAGGTTTTACATTCTGCTTTTGTTTAAATAGATACATAAAGATACAAACATAAAGTCACATAACTCTAGATATTGATACATTCATTGATAGCCTAATGCTCCAAAAACTTGCTATAAAATACACGTTTAAAACACTCACATATATACACACGCACACACACACACACACACACACATAAACACACACATAAACACTCACACAACACACGCACATACACATAACACACACACACACGCACACAACGTACACAAACTCCAAACAGTCGACAGCCAATCAAAGTCTGGGCTTTACAATATTTGGTGGTCTGGGTTACACTGGCAACAACACTTTCACTACAGCTGCTACCTCAGGGCCAAAAGAACGAAGCAAGGAAGACAATTTGGTAAGGATTGGAAAAGTTCTGGAAGGTGGTTTGGCCGCCTTTGATGGCAAATTAAGGTGAAGTTATTAATCATGAATAAATTGATAAATTAATAAACTTATAAATTGATAAATTAATAAATTTATAAATTGATGAATCAGTCAAATACTTACTTAAATAGTGTTTTAAATTAGTCAATTGTTTTTTCTATGATATTAGTTAAAGTTGTTTAATGTATTTTTTAAAAATTAATAAAAATTATTAAGAAAATTTATTTTGGATTTAATCATTTAAAGTTGATAAAATAGATAAATAAACAAATTATAATTATATATTAATAATAAAATAATAAAAATTTCTTCCTCTGAAGACCAAACGATATAGTCTTAAAAGTTGACGGTAGGAACATGGCAGGACTGACTCATCAAGACGTCGTCAGGGCTCTCAAACTATCTGGAAATATTGTGCATCTGGTTGGTTGGATGGTTGATTGGTTGGATGATTGATTGGTTGTTTGATTGGTTGGTTGGATGATTGATTGGTTGAATAATTGAATGGTTGTTTGATTGGTTGGTTGGATGATTGATTGGTTGAATAATTGAATGGTTGGATGATTTGATGATTGATTTGTTGTTTGGATGGTTAGTTGGTTGGTTGATTGGTCACATCTTTTTCATTTTGTTGTGTTGTATAAATTTTCTATGGAGTTTGATCGTTAAATGATATAATACATCTTATGAGATTATAAGCAATTACGTAAGATATAAAGTACATCTGAGGATGGTTTTTATATATGTGTCTCTTTGTGCGTGTGCGTGTGTGTGTGCATGTGTGTGCGTGTGTGCATGTGCGTGTGTGTGCGTATGTGCTTGTGCGTGCGTGTGTGTGCGTGACGTAGAGAACAACGTAATGTTGCAAAAGAATGTTAATTGATTCAATTTGAGTACCATACCTGAAATTAATTAAAATGGCGCACATGTATAATTCCTCTTCTCTCTCTCTCTCTTTTTCTCTCTCTTTCTATCTCTCTCTCTCTTTCTCTATCTCTTTTTTTTCTTTCTCTCCTATCTCTCTCTCTCACACATACTTATTTTTTGCATATAAAATTTATTTAACTATTTATTATTTTCTAGTTTTATATTCAAGTGGTTTGAAATCAGAGTTTATTTATCATGGCTTTAAGATGTTTTTAAACGTTGTCCTATGCTACATACCTGTGTGCAAAGATATACCCACACATGCGCGCACACACACACACTACACACACACATAAATGTGCATAGGTTTGTATGTGCGTGTGTGTTTTGCGTGTGTGTTTGTTTGAATAACAAATTTTATTTAAGTAATGTTTAAAATTGAAGTTTCAATCAAAAGATTCATTTAATTTTAAACGAATTAGCAATTAAATTAGTTTTTTAATCGATTAATTTGTAATTTAAATTAATTATCTTTTTAAAAATATGAAATGTTGTGTTAGCCACTCAAAATAAGAAGTGAACTACTTTTGTTAATTAGTTAGTTTAAAAATAGTTAACAACAATTTTTCAACTATTTTCGTTTCCAGTAGTTATTAACTACTCCATAACTACTTCCTACCTAGTAGATAACTACTTTTAAACATTCCCATTCTCCAGGTTCATTTGCCAAATGTTTTTTCAAAAGTAAATAAATTGCTATTTGCAGTTTAATCCAGTTAAATAAAATATTCTATAATCTCTCAGTATTACTATCAGTATCAAAATTTGTATAGCGCCTCTCTTGAAAAGGCCTCAGAAGCGCATTAATGTGTTTTAAGTCTTTCTCATAGACATTGTGCAAAGTTTACCACATGGAAGTTGCATAGATAGCTGACAATTTTTGATCAAATTTAATTTTTAATTTTTGCTTGTATATGTGGTTTTTCAAGTAGTCAAAAAAGTAATTAACTTTAATTGTTTGTGGCTATTTTTAAAGTAGTTAACTAGTTGTTATAAACTACTCAAACAAAGCAGTTACAAACTACAGCCTAGCTACTAGTGAATAACTTTATATAACTCTAAAGTTTACTAGTGAGTAACTTTATACAACTCTATAGTTTAAACTCATGTTTGAAAACATGAAATTTCACGCAAACAGCTTGTGAAGAGGCACTGTAATATGAGTAGAGGGTCGCTAGTCAATGTATGTCTGCGTAAACAAGGAGATAAAAGTTTGTATGTGTGTTTGTATGTGGTGTTTTTGTGTGTGTATGTGTGTGTGTGTATGTGTGTGTTTATGTTTGTTGCTTGTTTGTTGCTTGTGTGTTTATGTGTGTGTTTGTATGTCCATATGTGTTTATTTTTGTGGGTTTTGTGTATGTGTTTGTGTGTGAGAGTTTGTATGTGTGCGTTTGTATATGTGTTTTTGTGTGTATGTTTGTTTGTTTATAGATGTGTATTTTTGTGTGCTTTGTGTATGTGTTTGTGTGTAAGAGTTTATATGCGTGTATTTTTCAGGTCTTGGTTTCAGCATTGTTGGGGGCAGGGACGTCCCTGATATCCCAAACGACGATGGGATTTTTGTGTCACGCATAACCCCTGGAAGCATTGCCCATCTGGATGGAAGAATAAAAGTCCGGGATAAAGTGTTGTCGGTTGGTGTCTAGGAGACTTATGAAATTTATAATGGAATTATTCGTTATTGCAATCACCGTGTAAGTAACAAGACCACCCATCTATCCATATATTTGTCAATCCATCCGATCATCCATGCATCCACGCATTCATTCATCCATCCATGGATCTATCCACCCATCCATTCGTCCATCCATGCAAGGTTGGAGATGTGACAATGTTCAACAGGACGCACCAGGAAGCTGTCACCATTCTTCGATCATTCCTCAAGGATGATGAGGTGACTTCCGTCGAGTTTCAGCTGTTGAGAAAAAGAGGAAACGAAGGAAACGATGAAGGTCGTTTTCCGTGGTGATGGTTTTTGTTGGCTCTATTTTGAATTTTTAAGGGGTTTTTGTTGTTTCTATATTGGATTTTTATTCTGTCTCTATTCCGGATACTTATTTGTATTAGTATTGTTAGTGTTTACCTCGTTCGTGTTCATTATTGTTGTTGGTGATAGCTTAATTACCGTCGTCATCGTCGTCTTTGCCATCACCATCATTATATATATTATTAATTATAACAAATAAAAGTGTTTTATTTTAAATATTGAAGATAATAAAAAAATAAAATGGAAATTTATTACTTAATTATAAATAATTACTAAAGAAAATTAAAATTGTTTTAAAATTTCAGTTATATACTCTGAGTTGTCGAAACCCTGCAAGAAAGATAAAAATTTGTTGACGGTACAGCCAACACAACAACATCTACAACAGCATCAACAGCAACAACATCAACAACAACAACTTCTACAACAACATCATCAACAACAACAAACTAACCAAAACCAACAACAACACCAAAGAATTAATTCTATATTAAAAAAACAAAAAACACCTGTAATCTTTCAACAACCGCAACAACCACAACGACCACAACAACAACAGCCACAGCAATATGTTTCATTATCAAAAACATCAACAATAATACCAGTACCTAAGAGCGTATACCAGCAACAACAACCAAGCGGCACGTTTTCAACCTTGCCAAGAGTACAACAACAACAACAACAAAAACAACAATTTTATCACCAACAACATCACCATCATCTCCAACAACAACAACAACAACAGCAGCGCAATAAACTAACACAGCTAACGACGAATACGCAAAAAGTAGCAGTAACAGCAGAAACCCAAATTCTGCAAAAACCACGTCGTGTGGTACTGCAGAAACGCTCAAAAAGCGTCGGCCTGGGCTTCAATATCGTCGGTGGGGTGGAAGATTGGGGTATTTATGTTAGCAACGTGGTTGAAGGTGGTGTCGCGAGTGTCGATAGTGATCTTAGGCGAGGAGATGAGCTTTTGAGGGTTGGCTGTTGTTGTTGTGGAGGTTCAAGCTCATTAAAGAATTATGACAGAATTAATACAAAACAAATACAAACAAGATAAATACAAATTAAATACAAATTTATACAAGATAAATACAAATTAAATACAAATTAATACAAATTAAATACAAATTAAATACAAAATACCTTCTATAACGCAGGTGAATAACATAGATTTGCAAGGCATCAACCATGCCCAAGCCACAAACACGCTGAAAAATGTTGATGTTGGTACTGTGCTTTTGATCGTTCAATACAAATTAGAAGGTTGGGTATAAATATATGTGTGTATTTGTATGTGTATTTGTATGTATGTATGTGTATGTGTGTATGTATATATCTGATTGATATCCGCGTGTTCATATTGAATATTTATTATACGTGTTTATTTATAAGTTTTTGTATGTCTTTATTTAAATTTTTTAAAACAAATTTTCTTTAATTGAACTTTAATTGAAACGTTTTAGTATGTAAAATGCTTCATGCAACATTGTCCGAATAGTTCAAAATACCTGAAAGAAAGTTCTATGCTTTTTTAACTGCAGAGCTTCTTGCTTTTGAGAAGTGGGCTCATTTTATCCAGAAACAACAGCAACAGCAGCTGCAGCAGCAGCAAGCTGAAGGACAGCAACAAACGCAGCAACATCAACAGCAAAAACAAATTAAACAACAAGTGTTTCATTACCCTCAACATCCATTTCAACAGCAACAACGATCGCGGCAACAGCAACAACCACAGCAACAACCACAGCAACAACCACAGCAACAACCACAGCAACGGTCGCAGCAACTACAGCAACGTCAACAGCAGCAACAACATTATTATGAAATACAACATTATCCTGAAGAACAACCACCACAAATTCAACTAGACAGCAATGCACCGGTGCAAAATTATTCCGTTTCCACCAACAAATCAAACCAAAATTATTACCACCATCTTCCATCTCTTCCTCATCTTCCTCCTCCTCATCACCGTCCAAAACAAGCATCATCATCTTCGTCATCCTCGTCGTTAAAGTTTCAACTGCCTGACAGAGACTCCATATTCGTAAGGTCAAGTCTTAATTTTCCCGGCATTTCTTACCACGTCATCATGCAGATTCGTAAAAATTGATTTAAATAAAAAATATAAGAACATGTCATTTGGACTCTGTTGTTGACGCATTTTATTAAATCAGGGGTGGGCAAACATTTTGCTGTGAGGACCGCATTGAGAAATATTTTACCTATGAAGGGCAACATATGTACTTAAGTAGCAAATTATCGCCTTAAAATGTACAATTTATATTTTAATACTTTTCCAGGTCACTGTACTCCTATGATCCAGATTTGATCCAATCAAAGGAAATGACCTTAAAAAAGTTGAAAGTCACGTTTGGGGACGTCTTTAAGGTCAAAAGGTCGGACGTGGAGAGCGTAGACGAATGGTGGAATGCCGTAAAGATATTTTCATCTGATTTTGAATCCCTCAGTGATGATTGGTCGAACGATCGAATCGGAAATTGGGTCAATAATAATAGTAATAATTTGAAAACAGTTATTGATGATATCAATAATTATAAAAATAAAGGATTTATCCCAAGTAAAAATAAGTAGGTCATTTATAAACTTCAGTTTCTCTCGAATATGTTTAAACGTTGATAAAGGAATATTGATAGTATGATGATGACAGTGATAATAATGAGAGTTACGATAATTAAGAGAGATGATGATGGCGATTATGACGAACATGATGATAAAATCTAATTAAACTTGGTCACTTTGTTCCATTTATGTACAAATGTACTTTGTTCCAGCGATGTACTGCTCATGACGAAGTTGGATCAACACGAATACACTCAAAATGACAACACCCTATCATTGGATAGATTCCGTACCGATGTACGTTCTGGTTGGTTGATGGACTGATTGATTGATTGATAGTTTGATTGATTTATTGATTGAATGATTGATTGAATGATTGATTGATTGATTGATCTTTGATGTTGTGTGTGTGTGTGTGTGTGCTTGTTGTCGTCGATAATTTTGATGAATTTAATAGCAAATAACATAAAAATAATTATTAAAATAATCTCACAAAAAAACAAAGACAAATAAAATTGTAAAATAAAACGAAACGAAATTAATTTAAATGGCAATTTATTTATCATTCACCAGTCATCCGGATCTCGAAAACGCCGAAGTTTCATCATGAGCTCCAAACTGAAGCAGACCACCAAGCAGAAGAAAAAGAATAAAAGTAATTATTGTTAATAATTAAAAATAATAATAATAATAGTCACAATAATAATAATAATAATGATAATAATAATAGTATAAATAATAATGTATTTGTTATAATTGATAATATAAAAAAATATTTGTACATTTTCAATAGCTTTTATACAGCATCGTTGAATTAGTTACTTTAAGAATAATCAACAGTCACCATTTCACTCATCGTAATTATCTTTATTCATCGTTTTCATCATCATTTTCGTCATCACATCATCGTCTTCATCATCATTGTCGTCATCATTTTCGGTCGTCACCTTATTTTTTATTGTGTTAGGATGACGAACATCAAATTATCGTCAGCTATTGAAGTTTCGTTCGAATGAATTTAATTTAATTGATTTGGAGTTTAGTTGGAGATTCAATTTAATTGTCGTTGTTGACGTCATAGTTGTTGTTGCTATTGTTGTTGTTATTTTTGCTGATGTTGTGCGTTGTTGTGTTGGTGTTTATTGTGTTGTTGTTTTCGGTAGCTTTACGGACGGTTTAATGTCGCGTCACTCTGTTGTTTCTTCATAGCTGCGTTTTATTGCTGTTTTAATGTTGTTTTTTTTGTTGTTTGTACTGCTGCTGCTGCTTGTTCACTAGATTGTGGTAGAGTTCTTTTGTGTTTGCGTTTTTTGTGGCAGCGTTTTTTGTGGTTGCGTCTTTTGTGTTTGCGTTTTTTGTGGCAGCGTTTTTTGTGGTAGCGTTTTTTGTGGTTGCGTCTTTTGTGGCAGCGTTTTTTGTGGCAGCGTTTTTTGTGGTAGCGTTTTTTGTGGTTGCGTCTTTTGTGGCAGCGTTTTTTGTGGTAGCGTTTTTTGTGGTTGCGTTTTTAAGTTTTGCTTTTTGTTTTTGTGGTTTTTAGCGTAAAAATACGCGTCACACGTGTTGCGTGTGTGTGCCATGTTACACCTGAGGTCTCTTCACTAACGAATGCAAACCATCGCTAACTTACTTGGTGGTTGTTGAGTGTTTATGGGACGTTGTTTAGAATGCTGCTTCTCTGGTTTAAGTTTATGCCATTATCATATTTTAGTTATAATTGTAGAGGTAAATTATCTATTAAGTACTAAAAATTTATTCAGATATGGTCAGTAAGTATTACGAAGTGGTCAACATGGCAAAATGTTAGTTATATTGATGATCTTATTGTTTTGCTTACACACATACATACACATACATACACACACATACACATACATACACGTACATTCACATACATACACATACATACAATCACATTATTAATGATAATAAAAATTTGAGTGCTTGTAATAAACGAATTGCTCAGCGAAGCGCAATGAAGATAAAGAGAGTAATAAATAAACAAATGAATGAATGAATGAATGAATGAACGAATGAAATACTACTTAATAAATGTATGAATGAGTGGGTGAATGAAGTGGGTGAATGAACGAATGAATGAATAGGTGATTAAAACAAATAAATAAAAGCAAAAATGAATGAATGAGCGAATGAATCTATCAAATAAATGCTTTTACTACTATTACTACTTCTACAACAACATCAACAACAACAACAACAACAACAACTACTACTACTACTACTACTACTACTACCAATACAATAAAAACAATAATAATATTAATAAATAATAAACTAACAATAATAATATTATTAAAACGGAAATCTACAAATCTGAGCTGTCAGTAAGGATTGCCTTTTAATAGTGCGTAAATATAAAATATTAATGGGCGGCAGGCCCGTGACCTTTCAATTCATTAAAAAAACTACTCATCAAAAAGGCGGGAAATATTTTTTCAAATTTTAGACTGATGGCAAATTTATCTTCAATTTAATGGAGCACACTTTATGATTTCTGAGAAACGATAAACTTTTATTCTACTACTACTACTACAACTACTACCACAACAACAACAACTACTACTACTACTACTACAACAATTACTATTACTACTACTTTTATTACTACTACAACACTACTACTACTACTACTACTACTACTACTACTACTACTACACCACTACTACTACTTCTGCTACTACTACTACTACAATTGCAGCAACAAAACATTAGCATAGTTAATATAATAAACAAAGAAAATACATAAACAAAAACAAACAACAGAGCTCAAACAAAGACAAAACAATCTATAACATAAATAACGGCATAAATCGCAACAAAAAACCTCATTACTACATTCTAACAGCGATTACATTCTGACAGTAAATTTCCGCATAACCCATGTACCAGCAAATATTAATAAGCGTACAGTCAGATTTGCGTACTACCACGCCACACACACACGCCACACACACACATACACGCCACACACACACACAACACACACGCACTCAAAACATGCTTTAGTCTATTTATATTATCTCCTACTACTCTGCTACAACAGAATTAAATGTCGCAGTTGTTGGTCTAAATAAAAAATTAATTGATTTACTTAAAATCCTTAATTAATTAATTAATTAATTGTGGTCATTGAAAATTAACCAGGTTTGAAAACACGCCCTGTGATTATCGTTGGATGGTGTAAGGACAAGTTGAACGATCAGTTGGTAGAAAGGTGGCCTACATTGTTTGAGACGTGTGTGCCGCGTAAGTCACGTTTGTGCCGTGTGTTTGTGTGTTTGTTTGTGTGTTGCTGGTGTGTGGCGTGTGGTTGGTGTTGTGTTAATGTGTGTGTGTTTGGCACTGTTTAATTGGCGTAGTGTTAATGTTATTTTTGTTTGTTGTTGTAGTATAAGAAATTTGTTTTTGGTTTTTACTGTTGATTTTGTTAGAGTTGAATGTTTGTTTGCTCTGCTTGTGTTGCTGTTGCTGGGTACATTTAGTGCTAGATAGTGTTAGGTCGTTGCATTGTACGGATAATTAAACAACAACAACAAGCCAACAACAGAAAACTAGGAAATCGAAAGCAGGAAACTATAACAACATTTATTTACAAGTGGACCGACATACATTTCCTAACTGTCAAATATAAATCCAAGAATTTTAGAAGATCACTTCTGTTGAGTTAGAAATAAAATATCATTTTCCTGGCAAGTTTCCTGGCAAGCATCGTCAATTTGTTAGATTGAAAAGAAGCAGCCAATAAAATGTAGATAAAACCTGGAAGATAAAAAAAACGTACAACATAGGCTGATACACACACGCACACGCACA